GGAAACTGGATTTCTCCGTCTGTATATGACGGACTCGAGCTAGATCACTCATGTTTCTGCGCTACATGCAAAAGACTTTGTCTCATCGACTCTGGTGAAGTAACTAGACTTTTTGAGCGTTTCTTTCTTTTTAGCCATTGTCACAAAGAGAGAGAGAGAGTGTGTGTGTGTGTGTGTGTGTGTGTGTGGTATGTACATTCTGTGTGAATGTGAATGTGCGTGCGTGAGAGATAGTGAAATATTCTATAGAAACATCTAACAGAATTAAATATAGGAATGCAATCTTTCACACAGTTATCAGTGACTAGCGCAAGTGGCCACAGGCTAACAAATACATTACAATCTCCCATTTATCACCACTCGGGCTCCTTTTAGCTTCTCTGACAGGACGCCGTGTTGAGTGTGCACAGTTTGTCACAGTTTGCAGCCATGGACAAACTGCATCTGTTCCACAGTGATGTTTGTTTTTACTTCTTCTTGGTTGAAGAACTGAACACATGGCTGCCACTCGGGGGAGATATAATACGAAAATAAACGCAGATATTCAAATTTATGGCCACCTTTTTTACAGATATTATTTTTAGCAGTGCACATAGAGCACCAAAAACAGAACAAACCCAGGGAGGTCTGACAGGCAAGATGAAACACAAATATTTCATCCTGGAAGGAGGATCAGATCACAGCTTGAACTTTGGAGTCTGGTGTTTATGTTAAGATTATCACAAAATTTTACTTTGCCTGTTAACTTTCATAGAATAACCTTCTTTAAAGGGTTGTTGCTAATTGCTTGTTTCAAATAAACTTGATGCTTCTTTCAAATACTTAGTTGTCACAGCTAATTTCAGAATCTTTACATAAAAACATGGTATTTCATCTTGCAGGTGGATTAAGTCATTTGCTGTGTCACATTTGAACAAATTCCACTGCTGCTATCTGGTTTGTTTTGGGCAATGAAGCTGCATTGTTTGTCAACCACATGAAGCAGTCCAATTTGTATAGAAAGTGACGCAAGTTAAGAGACTTGCGTCACACTTAATAAACCACACAATGACCACACGTTTCACTTTATTTACCCAAGACCGTTATAAATACAGGTGTTTGTACGTTGTAAGTGACGTACTTGTAATTTATGATTGTAGGTGTTAAAAATTCATTGTTTGCAAACTTGGCCCTTTAATTATTGTCCCTTTCTTGGAGTAAAGTGTAAAAGTTTTCTTTAGGCATGATTTGCCTTCTCATTTATCCCAAAAAATTAAATTAAAATCTGAATATTGATTTCAGAATTACAAAAGTAATATTGTACATTTATTGTTTGAAGCTATAAAACATTTACTTAAGTTAGGGTAAAAGGTATTTGAAATTGCAGGCACAAATTCTTCGAGTTCTTCTGTGAAAATGTATATTTTTCCTCCGACTGACCTTCTGTTGTAAAGGTTGTTGAAATGCTCTGCTGAAACCATGGCAACCAGTGACCTGGAAGATCCATACATTGTGAATTATGTTTACAATTCAGCTAATAGGTCCCGTGAACTGCATTTATCACTGGCATTTTGGGGATGGGAATGTTAGGTTTCACCTAGGAGAGGGACAGAAACGCAACCTTAAAGAAGGGCAGAAGGAGAGTTTTAAGGGTTACAATTTACAGCACCTTTCTTATTTGTTGTTTACTTAGTGAGAATGCCAGGAGCGGGAGAAGAAAAGAAGAAAAAGGAGGAAAAAGAATGAAAAAGGTACTGGGGGTCAGTCGTCTCCCCTGTGAGGAGCCTGGTGCCATGGCCTTTATAAATGTAACTACTACACTTTCATTTAACTAAGCACAGACAGATACCAGCTTCATGCAGCAAGACAGCTATTCTTTCATAATGGCTGTAACCCGTTTAACTAAAGGAATTACTGTGCTTAGGCAATACAAATGACGTGGTAACATACATATTTTCTTTTTCCGGACGAGTAGAAAAGTGGTTCTTGATACAGAAACGTTTTAGTATCATGGAACATTTTGTTGGCCATCCTGTATCAAGTTAGCAACAATTGCAAGAAAACAGCCTTTAAATAGTTCTGCAGTCCACTCAATTTAAGTGTTTTTGTTTGTTTTACTGTCATTGTACTTACTGTATTATTAATTTTTTATCAAACATTTAATTAACTGCAACACTTCAGCCTGACCACTAGAGGGCAGCATTAAACAGTAGGACCTTAAATGATGCTCTGTATGGGAGGGAGGGTCTCTCTCTCTCTCTCTCTCTCTCTCTCTCTCTCTCTCTACACACACACACACATACACACACGTAGTTTAACCTTAATATTAAAAGGGCCTCCAGCAAACAGTGATACAGACACATTGTCTGTTCAGGTCAGGTGTTGATATATTCATTCTCCCTTCAGCAATTTACATTACACCAACATGTTTGTGACTACAGAGTCCAGTGTAATACTGTTACCAGGTTCAAATGTAAAACACATCTTTCTTTCCCTTTGTTCCATCAATATTTCAAGGTGCTTAGTAAAATGCAATTCATCAAAGGCAGCACAACTTAATTTGTTAAAAGAAGGAAGAATTTTCTTCGTTTGGTTTTATCCATTGTTCAATTTCTTAGTAAGCTAAGTGATCTATTATTTATTTTTCAACAATGAACCAGAGCCTGGTTTGAATAATTGTTGCAGAATTATTGCAAACTGAATACTAAAAAACATATTAAGACACATTTTATGCAGAAACAAGTATGCATAAAGTTTGAATGTTATTTTTACTATAAATGGATGACATGAGGAGTAGATAGGGAGTGCAATGTAGCAAAAAATAAAGTAGTGTAAAATTCTATTCTTGATCTGGCCTTGCCATTTCGTTTGACCATTTGTAGTTTTTCTTGATTTGGATCATTTGTGCTTTGTTTGTTGCTTCATCTACAGCAGACCATGCACTCAAGAATTTACCTCACCTAACTGCTTAATAACCTGTTAAGAAGGCTTGGAGCAATGCAGGTTCAGGGCTGTTTGACTGCGAGGCCACAGTTCACTAAGGGCAACATCAATACTAAATAAATGGAAGCAATTTTGTAGGCTGGAAATTATTTAAATTGGAAAAAACACGGATGGGTAAAAAAGGTTTGTTGCACATGCAACTATCCTTTTTTAAATAACTGTTTACATTATCAGAAGCTGCTGATGTGCTTTTGGGTATCAGCGAGTGCGTTTGTCTGTGCACCAATCCAATACCACCCTCTTCATTAAACCTGGACCCTGCTACTTCCCAACAGTGCCCAGTTTGCCATTTTCCTTTCCCAGGATAGTGAAGTCATGACCCACCCTACACTGACACTGACAAAGTGTTTAACCTGAGCCAGGCTATACAAGAATGCTAGCAATCATACAGGCTTAGTAGTATGCACTTGTTATAATAATATACTGTGCGTGTGTGTGTATGTATATATGTATATTTGTTTGTATATGTGTATGTACTGGATCTGTACTCAGCTGATACGCAGAAAGAGGAAATTAATATAACATAGTCCAGATTCAGTCCGTTATTCATTTAAAACTGAGCTCAATTTAACAAGAAACGTTTCTCCAAATATAATAAAAACCAGAAAAAGTAACTCCTCACATCTTGCTGTCACTTTGACTAAAATATTATTGATTTCACATTTATTAGAGTGTTTTGAGAGAATTATCATAGAGTATTTTTATTGAAATTTCCTTTCCCACATCCAGCGTTAATGAGGCCTGTGGTAGGGCGGGGAGTGAAGCTTTCAGCCTAAATGGGAAACTGTTTGTTTTGTAGCAGCTGTGTACCAGCCACTCTGCTCACACAAATACACACAATCATAAGCCCTTCACTGTAGAGCACAGTATATACATGCAAACACTCACAGAAATGTACCAATTTACTGCATATAAACACAATGTAAAGTCTCTTTTATGTTTGTAGTTGGGCCTCCTCTGTTTAATGAGCACATAGACAGCCTGAGATAGAAACAATATCAAACCACACACCTCAGCTTTGTGGGGACTCAAAGGGCAATCGGGTGGTCTTAGGCAAAATAAAGCTTTTAGGTCCGCACCATTAGCTCCCTTTTAGTGCCTGGAAGGGTTTCCATCTATTTAACCACGTTTGTTTTCGTTCTCTGTCTTCTACTGAAAAAACAAAGACTCGCCCTGTCAGCTTGTTGCTTCTCACAGGAGAGGAGTCACAGTGACCTGCATTAAGGTTTATCTGGTGGAGATGAAGCTGTTTAGTTTAAATGTTTAGACCCTAAGCTAACCTCTTCATTTCTAGATATACATTCATTCATTCATCAGTCTAGCTTACATGACATGAAGCATTGTTTTTCATTGTAAGATGTGAATTATTATATATTTGTTAAATATGGAAATTTTCAGTTGGCAAAATCATATTACATTATACTGTATGTCCCCCATAAAAAGAACCATCACTGCCGGTGACTCATCGGCCACTTGAAGTGTGTTTGAAAGGGAAATATAATGAGTCATTGAAGAGTTCGAAATCCAAAGGAACAATTGCATTGTATTCATTCCTTGCATTTAAATCAAAAACATCAAAAACAGCATGATTAAAATGAGTGGATGCTTTTTGAAAAGGACTCAAAAATAAAAGCTACACAGCTTTTTAGTTTTGAATCATTTACATGATTTATTTAATATTTCTACAGCATTTCTGCTCTATAGTAAATACCAGGCAATAGAACGGCTTATGAACACTGCGCTTATTCTATTTAAATACTACTTCATAATATATTAAGAAGAATGTTTTTAAATGATACAATTATGATTTGTAATATAGAATGAAATCTTTAGAAATATGACTAATACCAACTTATGTTTTATGTATGTTTCTGTTATATCATCAGATCAAAACGCTACTTCCCTCAGTAAGTGGAAATAGTAGATTCATTTTTTTGTTTGATTTACACATATTTAAAAGAGCTGTCACATTATAGTAACAAAAAAAGAGAAAAAGAAAAAAATAGTATTCTCATCACTTGTCTTCATAGTTTTATTTCCTCAACAGAGCAGTATATTAAAATTACCACAGCATACTATACTTAGGCCTTCTTTGGCAGAGAAACATGCAAACAGCCAAACGTCAGTAATGGCCGACGTACTCCAGCACCAAACTAAAAGAAGAAAACTTTATATTACAATGTTTTCACCATCTAAACTTACATGTTCACTGACTAACAAACTGATTAGTATAGCACATTCCTTACAGCACAGACATACATCATTTCAGCCAAAAAAACATTCACATCTCATTCTTTTCTTTTGGCCTACAGCATGCACAAGAATCACATTAAAAGTCATTTAATGTACATTCATTTAATGTTGTTTTTCATGACACAGCATCAATTTGTGTGTTTCATCATATAACTCTCTAACTAAGGTTTAGGTTTGACTCCAAGACACAGAGCTAGCTCGTTTCTCTGGATCTTCCCGTCCTTGTTGACGTCACAGTGACGCAGCAGAATGCCTCGCAGCGTGTCCAGCTCAGTGCTCGTGATGTCGGGCTGCGGAGGACAGAAGTGGAAGAGGGGACGGAAAGGCATTAAACTCTAAATGTGTTTGTAAGCAGCACAAATGCCTTTTAGTCTTAATGAAGTTAATTCAGTCAGATCTAGTTTGTGTACATCGTCAGTGTTCAATATCGACACACTACCAGAGTTTATACACGTCCACATCCATCAAACTCAATTAACATCCGTCCCAAAGAATATCATCTCTTACTATCTCTTTTAGTTGAAGGTTATACTCGTGACTGCAAAACCATTCCAGTAAATCTAAATTTGAAATAACATGACTTCAGTTTAATCTTGAAATCAGCTGTGGTGCCGCATTGCGTGCACAGCTGAATGGCCTGTGCTTATATCAATATATCTCAGTTTTTCAGTCACAGTTGATGTAGTTGTATAGAGAGTTGTAGGGCTGCAACTATTGTTTAATTATATAATAATTTGCTGATAGTATTCTCAATTATTCAACAAATAATTTTGTCTAAAAAATGTAAAAAAAAAAGAGAGCAAAAGGCTGAGTATGATTTCTGAGAGCCCAGCTATCAGTCCATCAGTTCATTTTGGCAGGTACTCAAAAACTATTTAGTTTTTTTGCCTAGCCAGAGACGGAAGGAATGTTATCAGCAGTGTTTGGTATGTGCACAACAATTTGTGCTAAACAGCAATCTATATATATATCTGAATGTCAGAAAGGATGTTCACACAATACAGTAGCAGCATACAGAGTCTTACCCTGACCAGCCCCATCATGTCTTTGACAAAGCCGTCCACCTCGGGACCCTCCAGTGCTCCTGTCTTACTCTGAACAGAGAAAGAGAGGCAGGAAATAAAAGTGTGGATTATTTAATCTAATTTACATCCTCCTCACATTATTCAGTCTTCCTGTTCAGGGTGTGTTCCTGGGTGTAACACATCCCAGCATGCATTGGGGATATCCATAGTAAGCATTCTGGAGTGTTTGACTGTTAATCATATCACTGCTCACATAACATTTATTTCAAATATCCACCTTCAGGTTACATACAACATGATTTGAAGCAGACGTTCATCAGATACGGTCACACTGTAGGAAAAATATGATGTTTCTGCCCTTCCTTCTCACTGCAGTAAGTAAGTAAAGTAGCCTAAAGCTCTTCAAAGTTTAAATCTTTAACTTTCTGCGTATTTTCACCTTCTCCGGGATCAAGAGATGCTGTGTGAAAGCCTGCTGTTAACTGTTAAAACTATCTGTTAACTTAAAAACTGTGTTTGCAAAACCTGAAACTGGTGCCACTTGCTATGTTGTTAGTTTCAGTGCTTTAAAATGCCGCCATGGTGTGAAACATGTGACTGAGAGACTCTCACTGTAGATCACAATGTTTCAATAGTGTTGATTCTCCAGTCACAGTAAAAGAGCCGTCCTTGACCTTAAAAATTGATCAAAATGATGTGCATATTAAAGAATTTCAACTTTACACTATTAACTATAATGGAACTTGGAGAATTACTTCATTCCCCAACTAATAGCTTGAGGAGCCAGAGTTGGCTGGTATGACTGTGACCACAGGACACTTCTCACAAAGCTTCTATGAACATTAAAGTAAGTGCAGGCAGAATAAAAAGGGTCCAAATGAGCCATTAGTTAATTCACCACTTGACAATGTAGAAGACATAAATAGGATTTTATAGAATAGGGGAAGCTTATCAGTGACTCCTGACTATCTGGAGCTGTACTGTGAATGAGTCTGACAGAGTTAACTCATCCTCCCAGAGTGTGACTTGACAACATAATGGGTACTTTATTTTATTATGTTTCATTACAGAGGTAACAGAACTAATTGGATTTACTGTTGCTGTACCAAGTCCTCTTCTGCACATCACCACACATTATGCAAATTTGTGGGAGTGAACTGGACTGGAAAGCTTGTAAAATATAAAGAATTACTCCCGTTGTGCTATGAAGGAGTGCTGTACTTTCATAAGACATTTACAAAAAACAATTTGAAAAGAGTCTTTTTAAAAGCCATGTGCCAAAAGCGGATAAAGACACAAATATGGAAACAGTCCACTACAACCACAGGCAGTAAAACCTCTAATAAACTTAGCCACTGGGTAGCTTTTTTTGGCACTAGGGGCTGCTTTGACCATGAGCCCCTTGAAAGGAAAATGTTGAGTGCAATTGTTGTCAACATAAAATTTGCTACAGGGCTAGCTGATGACTCAAATCTGCAACTTTTTGATCAGAAGCCTGCTGTGTTAAATGACATGCTGCTTTTACCACCCAAATTACTGAAAAAAACACAACAAAGTGCAGAAGTGCAACTGACTCTAGAACAGACATGTAAATGGGCTGATCATACTACAAACTGATATGATAAGATTATGAAATAGCAGTCATCATTTGTGTCCCCCCCGGTACATTATTGTACTTACAACGTCATAATGGGCAAAGATCTTGTCAAAGTCTCTCTTTCTCTCCTCTTTACTGCAGGCCTTGGGAAAAAAAGAGCGAAGTTAAAAATCAAGAACATGGAGAGAAATTGACTGACTCAGTCAGTCAAATATTAAAGAACAAAACAAATAATATACTTACATCCATTTGGAACTGGAGCAGGAAGTTCTCATCTAAAGCCAAGATCCTAATTGAGAATGAAATACACATATTCAACGAGTATTCATATCATAAAAGAGAAAACAATTCCTTGTGGTGGAATTGCCTCCTTCTTTCTCTTGTGGGAAATTTAAGATACACTATAACACTTTGAATGAATGAGGCACTGAATGTATTTCCATGTGTTTTATGTACATGTCTTTTGATCAAATCTCTTTTATGGCTCTCCAACCATCTGAAAACAGACACATAAAGATGAGTTGTGACTTGTATTCTCCTGTTTTTTGAAAAGTACCTGGCCAAGTCGTTCAAATCCAAACAGCCGTCCTTGTTTTTATCAAAGATTTTCATCTGCAAGAAAAAGAAAAAGATGAAGTGAGAAGCATGAAAATAACTTCAGCCACTGTGAATCTCTCGGCCTGTTGTTTCCTCATACCACCTGAGCCAACTCATCATTCAATCTGACTTTGAGCGTGAACCAATCTCTTACAAACTGAAATCTTTAAACTAGTAGGAACAGGCTATGTCAGACTCTGGGTTTCCAAAGAAGTAACTCAGAGATACAGTCAATTCATTTAGTCACTCTGTCTTGTGACAGCTGCAGCAGCACACACAATCTAAAGAAAATCATATCACCCTCTGAACAACTGTTGGTTTTCTTCTGAAGAACAATAGCAGTTGGCAGTTTGTCAGAATAGTTTATTGCAGCTACTTAAATCTTTTCAGTCTTAAAATGCAAAATGTACAGCTGTTACACACATACTGTTTCATTTCAATTGATGTGAAATATCCTAACTAGCGCTTGCAAGCTATCTAAAAAATTGCAAGATGTAACCGCAAGATGTGAATCCAGCTGCACACAGAGTTTAAAGGGGAAAAGGTTTGGAATAAACATGGACTGATTTTAAGTCACATCGCCACACCAGCTGAGACCTGCGTTAAAACACCACCTCTAACTGTTTTTAAAGCTAGACAAAGTCGTAGTAGCATTGTACAGACACGCATACACTACAGATACTTGCGTGATCATGTGCATACCCGGTTTTACTATGCAGTGTGTGTTTGTGTGTGTTTGAGAGAGTGAATGGTATTACTACCATTGCGTCTGTGTACTCCTCCAGCTTGTCAGATGACACTTCCTTGTGATGCTGTTGGAACAAGTCTTTCAGGAAGGCCTAAGAGATAAACATTTATTATATAATCAGACAACAGAGCAATCAAATCCACTGGGTAATAACAATTTTACACACTTCTCTAACAGAGTCTATTAAAATGTAAAAGAGAAAGGACAGAAAACCACAGCAAAAACATGCTACTTAACTATTAAAAGAGAAAGAGAATGCACATTGCATTATGTCAGTGTGAGGAAGAGCAGATTCCAAAAGAAGATGGATATAACAATAATATTCAAATTGTTCATCCTACTGGTATTTATTTGCTCTACCAAGCATCTCTGTTCTAAGAAAAACATCTAGTGAGGAGCTGAAGCTGAAAAAGGGCAATCATTTTAGTGTGTGACAGAACAGGAAATAGTGGCTGAGGGTTACAGTCATTCTCTGCCAATGCCACCGCTGAATGTTGCTCCTTGAACATAAGAGATGTGTAATTGGTTCTCCTGTGTGAGGGGGAAATGCATTTTGTTCGTGTTGACAACCTTACCTTGAGCTCCTGAGCTGATATGTAGCCACTGCAGTCAACATCATACTTCCTCCATATCTACAGTGGGCAGGAAAGGGCACATTGGCAAATGCTTACATGCAGTGGACAGCAGTTAATGAACACAGCTAACTTAATATGACACCAAAAAAAAAGTCATCATAGCTATTGGTGCTGTTCTGTTGTGTGTAAATTATGAAATATTATAAATTGATGGATATAATAAATACAAACCAACTTGTAATTCAGATATTATCAGAGTTTAAAAGTACTATAAATGTTGTCACCACCACTTGAACCACAGTTCAAATTTAAATGGTCACTGTTCCAGTCAGGTTACAATTCAGAGTTCTGAGTTTTTTGGAAGACTTCCTCATATTTTGCATGTGTTACTCCAAGTCATCGTCATTCCTCTCTACTTTGTTGGCCAGTTGCTGGTTGATCTGGTTTTACCAACTGGGCAGGAAAATGTTAACGTGTTGCATCTTGCTGTTGCATCTTGCTGTTGCTGTTGTGTGTTGCATCTTGCCTTTTTATTTTCCCTGAATATATCTGTTGATCCAGTTCCTTGTTAACGTTACAGACTCAGAATCAATAAACTATTGCCCTACAGCTGAAATGTAATGACCTGGTACTCTGGTTGTTTACTTGTTGTCTGAACTCATATGTGCCTTTTTTGAGTCCCAACCATACAATCAGTGTTACCAATATACAATATACACCAGGGAATAAGCAGTAACATACCACAGTGTTTCTAGTCAAACTATGAATGTTGCACTCACTTCATATCTTAGACCAAAGGCCCACCAGGATATTTCTGTAGTTTTTGTGGTTTTAATGCTACTATATAAATTGACTCTACTTATAACCTTTCATTGAAACACTGTAGTTGACATATTCCCAATAGTTTTAATTATTGGTGGATGTGTCTTGTCTAATGTAGTCTTGTCACCTCTCATTATAATGTTTGTTGTCTGTGACCTCACCTTTATGAAGTCCACACTGTTGTCCAGAGGAGCTTCTCTGCGGAAGACTAACAGGAAGTTCTCATCTTCAGGGAGGATCATATTGGCCAGCTGGAAAACATGTCAGAGGACAGAGGTCAGAGCAGAGAACAGTGATTGGATAAGACATAGTCCATTTTATTTTTGGAGAGAAACAGTTGCCATCAAGTTTATGGTCTGGTCTTGCAGTCTTGATCAGATCAGGGATCAGTTGTTATTAGATCTGTTCTCTACAGAAATGGATCCAATGAAATCATTGACAGTGAGATTTGTGGAGCACCCTGATAAGCTGGGACACTGTATGGAAAGTCTTTGCAGAGTTTTTAAAATAATATTCTTATTTTCATGCACCTTTACTGTATTAAGGTGGCAGCCGCAGATATCTCAGAACCTCTGCAAACTGAAACTACATGCATGGACACAAAGAGTGAGTGAGTGAGAATTTATGTCTTATGATATACGCCAGCTCTTCTTGGCTCCTCTCCAGTTCATGTTACTCTTCTCTTCTCTGTCCTTTTTTAATAGTATCAGCCCTGCATTAGCAGATTAAACTGGTCCCCATCATCAATCTGGTTAAAATACAAGATGATACTGCAGCCATTTTGATCACAAAGCAGAAGAACAGTCAGAAAAAGCGCAATGCACCAACAGAGATGCCAACTCCAGAAGAGCTAGACGTTCACAAAAGAAATGCAGATCAACGCACACAAAGGTCTTGCCTCTCGCCTCAGTTAAAGCAATAAAAAAGGTTGGGCTAATAAATTATATAATTACCTGTTGATTGTTTTCTGCAAATTGCTTCTTTTGTTACACCAGTGGTACAGAGATGCTTGTGTATTTGTTTAGTTTTATGTCTATATGTGTGTGTAGGTGTCTCTGGATGGTAGTTAAAACATGGCGACATGTTGAAACCCTCATTTCATTAAGCATCCACCCACTAAAGTGTCCTTGAGTAAAACAGAGTCCCTGCCAGATCCAGGACTGCTGTGTTGTAAAAGGCTTAATGAGAGAAGGTTTCCCAGGTTTCATAATCTTTACTAGTAAATATGCCAGAAGTACAGTAAATGCATGGCATGCTGCACAGTTGCTTACCTTGCACAAATAATATTGAGTTTGTATGTTTTTTACTTTTTGACAGTAAGTGAACACTGTGTCTAACAGACCAGCCATGTGTGATACTGAGCTAGACGGGTAACAACTCTTCATGCAGCACTCTCATCTCACAGGATACTTTGGCTTACTGATAGGCTTGCTAACTTCCTTCCTAATGCCGCTCATAGGGCAGATTCAGAATACAGTATGGGGAAATGACATTACAAATTACTTAAAAGTCAAAAACTAGTCAGTAGAAGCATATTTGGCGTATACAGTATGTTTACTACTTGAGTCTAAATTCTTACTGCTGGCTGTAGAGATGCACCAATCCAATTTACTAAATTGGTACCTGGTTCGATACTGTCTTCGTTAAATTAATTCAAGTATTGGCAAGATACCAACCCACACTTAATATAGTACTGTATATATTGCATGTACGGTTTCTTTGTCACTGTCATTTAGAATGAGTGTGTTTGTACATACAGTACATAAAAATGATCCAAATTAGTTACACACAGTGAGATATACAGCATTTAAATTAGGAAAATATAGAAAACTGGTATTGGATATAAAAAGTCTGATGAGTGCATCTCTAGTCAGCAGGGTGTGTAGCTTCAAAAGAAGCAGCTGTACAAAGAGTACACAGTTTGAGCTCACTGTCCCTGCACCAGCCACCATAAATGTCTAATGGCCACTTAGGGCAGAGATGTATTGATCTTTTTTCAGTTTTATGAGTAAAAGCTAAAGCATTTGGGGTCTGTGGGTGCATTAAGGTGTTGACCTACTGAATGAGTAATGGGGAGGCACATGTTTCTTGCACTGATTGTTCTGATGAAGCACTGCTGCTGTGTCAAGACCTGCATCAATAATGGACACTGAGAAAGCAATGTCATCAAAATTATGGTTTTAAATTTCTGGGAAACGGCTGCAGCCTGTTAATTTGTCAGTCAAGTTTGATTTAATTAAATGAATTGAATCAATCAGAAAGCCATTTGTAAATCAGCCTTCATTAATTACAATAGATTTGTTTTGGATTTTTGAGAGTCCTACTTGACGGTCTAAAATGATTATTAGGTTCTCTCCCATTTAGAATTATTTTTAATTAAGGTAATGGTTTCAATGTCGCTCTCCTCTGGCTGACTCCTCACTACGGGATGGCTTAGCAGCGCGACCCTCAGCAGTCCCGAAAATTAGTTTCTATTCTGCTTGAATGTAGTACAAGCTGTGTCATGATTGTCATGGATACATGAGATAAATAAAAGATGAAGAGGGAGGGGTAGTGGAAAAAGAGAGAAGGGTGAGGGGAATAGATGAGAGGGAGTGGAGGTGACGGAGAGCAAGAAGATCTAGGATAAAGAGGACTATAGAGCGAGAAGGTGTTCAGTGTGCAGATAGACAGAGAAAGAGAGAGAGGTCGTGTTGTGGGGGAGGTGAAGTGTAGTGTGATGCCACTCTGTGGAACAATAAATATAAAGGAGAAGTGCTCTATAGAAAACTAAAATTTAAATGAATGGTAGGTTAGGAGATGAGTGTATTGAAGTGAATACAATTTTTCAAAACCACATTTTTTGTTCTTAAACAATGATCAAGTGAATGAGGGAGTGATTTTAGACAGAAATTATGTAGTACCTCCTGAATCTGTAGTTTCCCATCAGCAGTGGCATCATAGGCCGACATAAACCTTTTCTTCAGTCTCTGGACTCTCTCTTCAGTCACTTTTTCCTGTTGAGATGCAATAGATTAAAATTAAATTGGTTTTCTGACACCAAAGCCACCATTAGAAATGCATTAGGCGTATTAAATTGGACACAGATATCATGATAGGGCAAAATGTTATGGTATATACAGAAAATTGCAATTAAAAAAAACACAACTTGATGCTTTTAAATCAAGATACAGGTATATTTGTTGATATTGAAAGAGAAATACTGTACTGGTTGAGTCAGTTATTTTAAGAAATGTCACCATGGATACTCTGATCTCTGATTTTTTTTTTTTCCTCAAGGTCTGCTTTCTCAACCCCAGGCTAACTTTTTGTAAAACTCGCTCTACATGTCTCTGGCCTACCCACTCTTTCTAATAAGGAAAATATGATGCATGCTTATCTAAGGGAATCTCATTTTCTTTTCCTGTATAGACCAGTGTCTTTTCTCAACCACAGCCCAGTCTAATGCTCTAAGAAGCAGCTGTTAGAAGTTATTTTAAAATATATTGAGCAGCTGTTCTTCCGCCTCCGTCTCTTCGCAACCCCTCCATTGCTGTATTGTAGCTATAGAAACCTGTTGATCTATGGCGCTGAAGTCTGAATCATTGTTTCATGCAGAGCACACAGGCTGCAGACTACAAGGTGCCACAGCCTTCCTCATTACAGAAAGACAAGCGTTTATCTTCACCATCACCTCACCACACTCGTGTTTGGCCCCAGCAATATCCTGTTGCTAAGCAGAAGTTTTTTTTTTTTTTTTTTTTACGTTATTGACACTATGTACACTCACTGCATCACAAACTCTGTATTCTGTAGGTTTCACTGGTATATTAAACTTCACTATCACATGAAAATTCACTAAGTTGCATTTGAGCAATTGATTAAAAAAATGTATTAGTTTATGTTAGAACATTCTGCATGATTACTGGATGTGTTGCACTAAAGGAGATAAAAGGACCACATGGTTAATGTCACCCAACAACAGCTGAATATAATATAATAGAAGGACTGCACTGTGTTTTTGTAGCTCAAGAGAAATACACAAAACAGTACTTAACCTGGGGGCAATAATGATGGAAAGCAAACATCAGAGGGCAGTGACATATGGTTAGTGGTCTGTTTATTGTAGTACCCCATTAGTATCCAAGGGAGTTCAATCACACACACAAGCACACACTGGAAGATGAACTAATTGTTGCAATAATATTTGGCTTTCCATTATAACTGGTCAAGGAGAGGGCTCCCTGAAAAGTAAGGGATCTTCCTTTGACAGTGACCAGAGTGCTTTAATTGTGTCTAACATCGTTACAGCCACCCCACCCATCCAGATAACTTCATAGAGGTTCAGCTGCCCACACAGCAGACATCACAAGTGCTGCAAAGTCTGTCCAAAGCCAAATGTATCTCCTAGAGGCAGATTCAAGATTTAATTTTGAAAAATAGCATCCTACATGAAGTTATTAACCTAAACATAAAAAGAAGAATCATTGTATGCCAAGCATTGAGTTTAGTGGCAAATTGCAAAATAAATAGTTGCTTGTACTTGTAGAACAGGTGCAACACAATAAATAACATAAAATAAATGAAAGGAAATAATACATCGACACACTAGACACAGTATAGTATGTGTTTGCAACATCATTTCAATCTGATATTGACAATCTGTGGCTTTGTGGCTGTTCAGCAGCCCTTGACATGCACTGTATTGAACTGCTGTCATCACAAGTTATGGATTAATTAATCCAAACAAAGTTGACTTACCTCTGGACCTAGTCTCTTCATCATGTGACGGAAAAATTCATCAAGCTCTTTGCCCTCAATGTAGCCATTATCTGTCAAAAAAACCAAAACAAGTCTTACAAGTCCTCAGGTTGTAAATCCAGTGAGTCAAGTTTGAATTTTCCTCAAAATTCAAATACTGAGTGAGATTTTACAATGAAGTTACTAAGTGACTCTACACAGGTCAAAGCTCAAAATCTACAAATAATTTGGTACTAATAAAGTATTTGTGCTACCTCTTTGCTTTCCTTCTGTATCAAGCCTCTTACTTTAGATTTATATAGGACTTTGCCATTTTCAGACACAGTCAACAAAGTTGTTGTGTAATGACAAAAATAATTAACATAAGACCTTACATTACTACAGGACTTACAGTTATCACCACATATCCGGATTGCATTCTCTCTCTAATGTCTTGTAAAAGCAGGAGATAAATGATAAAGTACTGTACCATCTGTTTTACATATATTTATGGAGAAAAACAGTCATTAACTGTCCTCACCATCTGCATCGAAGTGTTGCCAGATTTCCAGGAACCCAGCTGCATCCAGGTTATCAAAAGCACTGTCCATTTTAACGAAGAAAGGCAAAGTAAGCTGTCAACTTTAACACAAAAATGTGAGAACTGAGGTGACAAACTGTGTTGCACTGTTCAGTTGTCTGCTTGGTTGGCATATGCTTTGTAAAAACCACACCTCCTTTGTGTGTGTGTGATAGTGAGAGAGATAGAGATAGACAGAGAGAGCATACTGTAGCACTCTATTTGCCATCTGGTGGCTGTGTTGTTACACTACAAAGCAGATCTTTAACAAAAGTTACAAAAAAGGGTCAATACAGATTTTGAAGCCTGTAAAATTATTTTAATCAATATTAATATTTGCATGAAGAAATGTCCAACACCAGCAGAATGACTTAGTGAAACATACTGATCCATGACAAAATGGAACAAATCATGTATCAACACTGATAATGAGTAATCATGTCATTTGTATTCATGAATTTTCTTTCCAGCTCAAGGAAAACAGTCATTGTTATGCATCATTTCTTTTTTTTTTCTTGAATCATGATAAAAACATTAAATTGATTACATGTAATAACAAATTAATACATACAAATAATTAATTTCTACATTTATGAACACAATGTACATGTGACAGGAAAAACAACAAAAGGATCAAGACATCACCGGCCACTGTTTGTGTTTTTATTCCAAATAAGTTACAAACAAACCCCTAGTATAGTAGTGTACTTAGTACCAAAACGATATAGGATTTGCTGTGTTCACATAGGCGTGTGAATATATCACAGTGTGTATATTACATGTGCGTATATTACACATACATATACACACACACACACACACACACACACACACACACACACACACACACACACACACACACACACACACACACACACACACACACACACACACTCCTACATGTATGAAAGCACATATATACATACAGTACAACTCACAGCCACATCATGCAGTCACACACACATAGACTCAGGAGTCTAGACTCAATGCTACTGGTTATTTTCACTTTCTCCACTCTGTGCACCAACAGAAATGAAGTGGATGCTCATTTTGCAGAATTGAACAGGAAATCATGACAGAAACACAGCCAGCTGCTTCTGAAATCCCACGCAGGAGAGTGAAAGAAGAGGGTGTCTTTATGATTTCCATGCGTCAGGAAAATGGCTAAAAATGTCTCCAGAATACAGCACACAGCCACGTGTTTGCTTTAAACGTATTGAAAAGTACTGTTTTTTTGTTTGTTTGCGTTTTGGGACTGAGACTGTGAATCAAAGCAGTTGTTGACATCAGAAATAGATTAACTATATACAGCAGAAACAGTGTTATTTCCAAGACATGATTAGTGACAAAGACGCTAAATCTTGATGATCCTACAAAAATACATCGATAGACACCATAGGAAAAGGTGCACCAGTAAGACCTTTGGCCCTGACTTGAATTACACTCTAGCACAGTAAAATACAAGTTCTGCCCTTTTCACACTGCGCATAAAGACCAAGGTCTAGTGCACATTTAAAATTAACTTTGGAACACAGTTTAGCACACAACTCTCACATACAGGTGCTTATGGGATGTAATTGTCATTGTATAATGAAGATTAATGATTTTGAACACAAGATCTGTTTGCTGACTGTGTAGCAGTATGAAAAGGGCATTTCTTGCTCTTGAAAGACAACAATAAGAGGAATCGGCCTGAGACCTGTGTTGTTGTTGTGTAGCATTCAGGTCCTGAAAATGCTGCATACAGAATAGCCTAGAGGTCCATGTGGTCCAAATACAGCTACCCTCAGTTCACTTTCACGTCAGGCACTGCATTCTCAATTATTTTACAAAAGCAATATGATTGCCAACTCCATATAGGTTGAATATCAAAGAAATGTCTCGTTTTGGACAGAATGAAGTGAAAGTGAACTGAGTTTGAAAGCCCTGAAGGTCAAGTCTGTAGGAGATGCTGAGTGTTTGAAAGCTGGAGTTCCCTCAGTGTCGGACTGATGGGGTTATTGTCAAAATACTGAAATGGGAAGCATATGACATTTTCCCCCGTGTTACCTTCAAGCAGTTTCTTTTTGAGTAAGTTCTTTGTTTTTATTACACCTGGGGAATATTATACTTAAGTATGTTGTATTTGAAGATGCATTTGCCTTTAAGAGCAATTCAGAGTGTGTATGACTGTGACAAACACTGGAATACCAAGCTAGAAATTAAGTGTTCGATTTACATTTTTTGACCAAATAACAGAAATATGAGACTACGGTTATAATCACACTCTGTACTGCACTTTAATGATAGACACATACTCCTTTCCCCTATAAACAGCGCATTAATGATATATATTTTTTTTCCATAGTGTATAAACACAGAGAACAGTGTTAGTTAACAGTGCTGAAACCCTATTGATTGGTTATCAGTTAAGTTAAAGTGTACCACAGTCCTCTCAAAGCCACACTTCATATGGTCACTCCAACTCTCTCACACAGAGACAAACTTGAGTCCTGTTGGGGTGTTTGATATTGCAATAGCTATCCTTCAGTCACTCTGTGAAGAGTCCACTTAGTTTCCTCTGGCTGACTGGTAGTTTTACTACAGCAAGCTACATCAAATGTGTATTTGTGATTAATGGTGGGCTGAGATTCTCAGCTGAACCTGTATTTTCCTGAAAAAAAAAAAAAAAGATTTGAACTGCAACAATTGCATAATGGATTCAGTCACCTCTGAAGTCCGGAGAAAAGTTACTTGCATGTACTGAAAATAGCATATAGAAAAATCTATACAAATATATTGAAGGAACAAAATGCCATTGGGTCCTGGTCTGGTCGTATGTTTGAGTTCAAGTACAGTACAGTGATCCTGGTATTATTGTTACATGTGTTTGGTCCCTGGGAAACAAGCTACTGCAACAAATAGCAACAAGACGTTGGATTATTAGTTAAAGAAAGACATAATAGATCTACACTCATAGTTTCACAGTCTCTCTGTCTTTTGAACAAAAAATCTGCTGTTTCCTGAAACCATTGCGTCTCTTTTTTTTGCAGTTTACAAACTTATACTTAAATTCAGATTTCAATATTCATTGGCTGAATTTCCTTAAATCCTAAAAACTTTATTCTTTAGAGACATGAGAACTTCGCCTGACAGCAGAGAGCAGGAACAAAAAAACATTTGTGAAAAGGAAGCTCTTAGGAGACAGTTTGGTTCACTAGGTGACATGATGTGACTGAAACACTGAATGAGGATATTTCCCCCAAGTGTTAATATCAATAATTTCATCATAGACATCCAAATTAAATTAAATTTGAGACTGTGTATGACCTGATACTACAGCAGGTCTTCCTGCAAACCAAACATGATTTGTACTTTGCAGTCAAACAGGACCTGCAGGTACAACCTCTCATATAAACGAAAATATATTGATTAGATTCCCCATTGGTTGCTTTTCTAAAGGAGAACATGTGAGGCTGATCAACGTTTGTCTCACTCATATTAAAATAAAGTCTTTGTCTGCCTCCTCCCCAGAGTCTGATGCCTTCTTGCCCCCTGCCTTGTCCTTATCCAGGTTTGGAGATTGGTCCTTGGTCTTGAAGGAGCCATGATCCTCAGAGTTGGTGCGAAGAGGGCCGGGTCGCTGAACAGAGTCTGACACAGACCCCACCCTCACTGAAAACAAAAGCGAGAGAGAGAGAGAGAGAGAGAGAGAGAGAGAGAGAGAGAGAGAGAGAGAGAGAGAGAGAGAGAGAAAAGATTAACACTTGACAGTAAGTGTTGACAATGCTTAGAGCGAGGGGACGAGAGGAGACAGAAAAGAAAGGGGAGGAAACAAAAGGTGGCGAGGAGTAAAGGGAAACAGAGGAAACAATGAATTATTTATTTGCACATGTAGCTTTTATTAACTATGCTGCTACGGTTGGCTGCCCATCTTCCAATACCAGCCTTACAGTTTTTGGAATAAATAAACTAAAACAGGAAGTTATGTAAAGCACCTCAGTTCTACTTTATCTTTGCATTTTTAGGAAACTCACAGCATTAAGGATACAAAGAGCAGCCCCACAAGGCTGAATGACCAATAACAAGACACATGCAGCCAGCTACCTCTTGTTACCAGCTGTGTGTGTACATATACACAGTAGAGCCTGCTGATGAAAACACCCAGCAAATGTGCAAAGGATGGCATGGTTAAAACCGCAGCAGGAAAGCAAAAGTATAGAAACAATGGGTATTACCAGGGTAAAAATCCTTGCCCAGGGTTTATGTAGGGCCCTGATCTTCTTTGTGGTTTCAGCCCATTCCAGGAGCCCTACATTTCATCCACACTACAAATGATATCCAGTCAGGAAATTGACAAGGATAGGACATGCTGTGAATTTTGAGAATATGCTGATTGTTATCCCTGTGATGAGCTGGTGGTCTGTTAAGAATATCTCCCTACTCTGTGCACAATGCATGTTGGGAGAGAGAGTGACTACTTAAAGGGGATCCTGCTCCACATTCTCTTGTGTATACTGCCACCTTATGGCTCCTGATTTACTATATAATGATGGTAAATTATCCAGGCTAAGTTGATTCGCAAGGGGGTCTTTTTATTTTGCTATGATTATTTGTTAAAGCCCTTTAGATGAAGGAATGAAGGAAAGTTTTACAAAATAATGAAATCTCAAATTATGAGCAACAAAGGTTGTTATCTAGGTTAATGTTTCCCTCTAATGACGCAGAGGTTGTGGGATCGGACTGAGCAGTGCAGAAACTGCCTCTCCAGCTTTTAATTCTCTCTAGAATCATTCAAAATGCATACCAAAAAAAAACAACACAATTTTTAATAATCTTCTATTGAGGATCAACAAAACAAAGAACCAACAAACCAAGTAGCCAGTGGTTTCAAAATGAATTCTCATTTGCCTGAGAGCAAGAATCGTGCTCATGAACGTGAATCAGATGTGAGTACTTCTGACAGGCACCAGAGGGTGTCATTGATAACATACAGGGGGAAAAGGGAAGAGAGGGAGAGACTAGAGCCGAGAGACTAAAAGAGAGAACACACATGAGACAAGAATAATATATAAATATCAGACAGAAGATGGACACTGAGTGAGAGTTGTGACCCAAATCTATCAGCACTCATATCGTACATGTAAACAGACAGCAGGCAGCCTCTACAAGAACAATGCAGATGTATCAGTCATCAAACATCTACCAGCCTGTGTAGGGGAAATCTGCTCTGGCCAAAGGACAGATGTTGGATGAAGGAGAGAAAAAGGCAACTTCAAGTTTCAATGCAGTTGAACATCTGTTTATTTATTAGCATTAACACCATGGCATAAACAGGCTAAGTAGTACTCAAAGATTTTGTGACCCACCATCTTGAGTGGTTTTGTTGGTAGAGCCTCCTGACTGCAGACCGGGCTGACCCTCTTTGTCTTTCTCTGACAGCACCCTCTTCAGCGTGGGAGGAAGAGCTGTAATCTTCGGAGACACACCGCCACTACTGGGGGAATCTGAGCTCTCATCTGTCAGTAAATCACAAACAAATAATATTAACCTAAAGCAAATATTGTCTCATCTCTCATAATATATACTCCACAAACCCAATGCAAACGTAGAATTTCTAACTCTGTAATCTCAAAATAAAGATGTGGCTTAGGAAGATTAAAAAAAGAATCACTACAGATCCAATGCTCCGACTGTACCTATGCTCCTGCTGCTGCTGGGGGTCCTTGGCTTCTGTGGGATGGTGGGTCGGGCAGCCAGAGCAGGCTTTGCTCCCTGTGGCACAGGTGGTTTTGGACTTACTGGTCCCCCAGGGGAACTTGAGGAGGACGTAGCCCTGAGACGAGGGGCCGGTTCTGGCTTGGTCTCAGCACGAGGAGGGGTCTTCTCTGGTGAACTAGGGTCTGATTTATTAATGGAACCACTGGGAGACCTGCTTTCTGAAATGGCGGGCTGGGTCTTGGCAGCTGAATGCAAAAATAAATAAACAAATAAATAAATATTAAAAAGTACCAATTCATAACCAAACTTATCTGTGGAACAGTAGCTGCCTCAGGAAGAACCATGGATATTAGCCAAACTTTAAAACCATTTATAGGTCTCCATAAATCATTAACTTAATTATTCATTAGCTTAAAAGTTAGCTCATTAAAAATTTAAAGTTGCTCTTCTCTCTTTATTTTCCACATGTTTATCTTAACAGATAAAACCGCTTACCTGTTGCATTGCTGTCAGGCCTGTCGGGGCTAGAAGACTGGAGGAGACACAAGGAGAAAACATTCACTCAGTATGAGGGCAGAATGGTAAAATGTATTTGTTTATTATCTTTTAAGGGATTACTGTGTACAAATACAAATTTCAAGCTTTTATTTTAACTGATTGGAGAAGTTTACCTTGTAATAACTGCATGTGTACAGTTAGTTATACACTTTAAAAAATAGTTTTTGCACACCATATTCCTTTTTTACATACTGCATATAGTGTATATATTTTCATTATAGTTTTTATATTTTCTATTATCTTTTTATCTTTATATCAATATATATATATATATATATATATATATATATATCGTTTATATCATTTTATTATTCTTTATTGTATTTTTACACTTCTCTACTTTCTGTACTACATGTGCTGCTGTGTCAAACCTGAATTTCTCCCACGGGGGATCAATAAAGGAACATCTCATCTTAAGTGCTGTGCTGTGATACAAGCAACATTTTAACAGAAGGGGGCGCCTTTGTGATAGAAAATGCAGCTCACACACCCAAGCTTTGTATTAATGACCTGCCTCTTGAATAGTTCTCTCTCTCTCTCTCTCTCTCTCTCTCTCTCTTCATTTTACCTGCATACACAAAGACACACAAGCACACACACACAACTCTGGAAGGCAGCCAGAACAAGCAGATGGCAGGAGAGGCTTTAGTGCCACTGATACAAGGTCAGAAAAAACCCTAATGCTGCAAACACCATAAACCTCTTACTGCACACACACACACACACACACACACACACACACACACACACACACACACACACACACACACACACACACAACACACACACACACACACACACACACACAAACCGTTTGCAGTAACTAGACAGGGACCAATAATACATCTCTTGAACACACACTTACAGGTGCCAACACCAACTCAAACTACTGCACACAAACAGTAGACAAAACATACAATTATTGTCCTTATTTGGTATTTCACTTATTCCATTCCCCTTGACTCACTCTAGGATTTATACATATATATATTATATATATAAAATTAATTAATTACTCTTTCACTTTTTTGTGCTTTTGTGAAAATTCACAAGTAAATGTAGAAATGAGAGGAGGAGGTGGAAGAACTGAGAGCACTCCTAGTTTAAGTTTCATCTTTGTGAATTTGGGCATTAAAAGTAGGTGGAATATTCCCATGACATTTATGTCCTGCTGTGAGTCATGACAGAGAATTTGCATATCAGCCTTCTTTCTTGTCTTCATTCTGTCCATTTGCTGTTCATGCTCCCATCTCTTCCACTCTGCATTTCCCTCCCTCCCCTTTTCACCTTGTCGTCTGGCAGAAAACCAGGGTTGTTTGTGTTTTTTATGTCAACATTCTGACAGGCGCAATTACTAGCCTGAAGATATACTAGCATCTGTGTCTGTGTGTGTGTAGATGTTTCTTATTTTCTGTGTTTTCTCAGCTGGAATCCACAGTAAGTGTGTTGAACAAAACTGTCTTGACAAGTGGAGATTGAACACCGACAGCGCTTTGTCCCCAAAACAAAATCACATGTGTTCTGATTTAAACAAGAATCTCGCTATATCTGACTGCCACACCAGTATCATAAAACCTTCAACCTTATTTATGTAGTTTATCTTTAACAGTCACCTTAAGAAATCAGAAAGTAACTTATAATTAAAGCAATAACTGGCTTAAACGCGGCTCAAATAATGGGGTTTATATCTTCTGTTTTACTAAAACACACTTTTTAGTCTCATATCTACAGATGGAAATCCAAAGTTAATCACTAAACCTTTGAATCTCTTGCAAGGAAAGCAATTACTGAGCTTGAGCTTTTTGGTCAATTGCAGTTTGCAATGTTAAGAATGAACTGGAAAAAAAGCCTTGCAATTTAGGCCCCAACACAAATGTTGCTGGTGCATGACATACTGTATTTAATGTGGGAGTCAGCACAATCATCTTTGAGGTTTGCATCAGGCTCATGATCTTTGCCACATGTTGTCTCCCATCTGTCTCTTACTTTCCCTTGTTTCTTGTAACCCTGGTGCTTACTTTTTAAAATCACACCATCTCACCTTGTGTGCTCTCCTCTCCTGCTTGGCCTTCATCTCTGCCAGGAGGCCGCTGCCCATCATCTGCAACCCCGGGTACCGCCTGCCTCCCTGAGGACTACCTCTGCCGTCCGAACCCTCCCAGGGCTCGTCTATGGAGTCCGGCGTCCTCAGCTCCTCTGAGCGGTCTGAGCTGCTGCTGTAGTCTGCAGGCTGCGAGCGGCTGGAAGTGTCTCTGCATTGAACACCGGAATGATTAGTGAATAAGTGGTTGACCAGTTCATTGGCAGTGACTTAGTGGGTAATCACAAATAATGCTCTTTTTGTTCTTTACCTGGATTTTGTCTCAGGTGCTGGGCTCTTTAATGCCACCTTTGGTGAGGAGGGCTCCTCAGGGATGGTGGGAGCTGGCGTCGAGGCTGCAGATGTACCTAAAGCTGAAGGGGTTGCCTGGTTTTTCTCTGACTTATCCGATTTATCTGATTTGTCCGATTTATCTGATTTGGTAGAACGTTTAATGAGATTAAGGAATCCTCCTTTACTCTTCTTCTTCTCTCCATCCTGAGATTCTGAACTCTTTAGGGAACGTCTGAGAGGAGACAGAAGGACAAAAGACTTATGTATGACTTGCGTATCAAACTTAAGAGATGTAGAGAAGTATAATATATAAATAAAGTATAGTCCTTACTTGGAATCCATCTTGGTAACTTTTGTTGAGAAGAACTCGTCCACACCCTCATCTACCCTTCCCATGAGGCCATTCTGCTCCCCATCCTGAGATGGAGCACTGTTGATTTGCTGAAAGAGGAAGATCAAGAATCTGATACCATGTCTACACCATCTGACAAACAGTAGATCTACTGTTTCTGTGCAAGTTTTTGGTATATAGTCCACTCATGCTTTGTGTCAATCTTTTCAGGTTAATTTGATCTTGCCAGTAAATGAAAGGAAGCCTCTTTGAGGCCTCTAATGTTTTAAACTGAACTTTAAAAGTGCTCTGCCTGCCTACTCACAGGGACTTTGCTGGAATGTGTTTTCTTGTTCCGGCGAGGTCGTAGTTTGGTGAAGTGCTGCAGCTTTTTTTCCTCCTCAGACGGCAGCTCCACCATCGCTCCTGGTGGACGATGCTCCTGTTTTGGCAGAAGGTGAGATGGAGTAGGTGGAGTTCGAGATGAAGTGTCCTCCATGTGGATAGGGACGTCCTCCAGGGCCTTGTCCAGGTCAAACTCCATCTCTGTGGGTAGGACGTTCATTAGGATGTTTGTAATGGTGTACTCTCACCTATCATCAGGTCTAAGTAGCGTCACTATAAGAATTTTTTGAAAGGACAAATACAGAACGATTGAAACCGATCAGGTAAGCTAAATAAAGATAAAGCAGAAGGATAATGTACTGTTTGGTTCTAATAAAGCTCAATGTCATTAAATATAAACTAAAAAAATTTATAATAAACTGCTCACCAAAGGCACGAGACACTGGCCGAAGCATTCTGCTGTGGATACTCTTCCTCTTGGATTTAGGAGTCATCTGAAAGAAGAGCAGATAATCAGATAAAAGGTGGTAATTCAAATATTAAAAATGTCAAAACTGTTATTTATATCATTCAAGACTGTTTGAGCTTTAAGTTTGATAATCCATGTTTATTCTTCAAAAAGAAAAAATCGTGGGAGAACAAATGAACAAACAATATTGTCAAAAATAATACAATCACAAACTGTGGCTGTTGGATTCTGGTTTCCTATTTGGGATTCTGTCCACAGTTTACTTGTAACTACACTTTATTTCATTGTGTGCCAGTTTGCAATAAGACCAAATATGAACCTATTTAATCAAAACACTATAAATATAAATAATTATTAGAATTATTGTATTGATTTTCCCTATAACACACACATTTCCATAAGCTAGAATAACACAGACAACTTGATCTACATACAGACATATAGACACAAGGCACACTGGTTTATTAAATAGTTTTTTCATGATGTATCCTAAAATGTAAAGTGAGACAATTAGGACAGCTGTTGGGTTATTAAGCAAGATACAATCAATTCCACTGTCTCCATACAATGGTAGACAGTAAACACAGTAACACATGTTGCATATTATATTGTGTAAGCTGGGTGATAACAGACGTTAAGTGGATAGGGGCAGTGCAATGTGCCTAAAAGCACAAAAATATACATTTTTAATTATCAGCATTCAACTGTTTTAAATATAATTCTGAGAGTGAGTGAGGAGATGGTAGATAAGTGTGTCCTACTATAGTCATACTGTAGTTTTTCTACACTCTTTACAATCTTTAAAATTAATCATAGGGATCAAGACTCTTTAGACAAAGATACAACACAGAACTGTATAGCAGGCAGGCACAGTGAGGAGGAGAGAAAGCAAGACGAAAAGAAAGTGGAGTGAAAGGAGAGCACAGAGAGAGAGAGAGAGTCCAGAATTACTTACAGTGGTGCAGCACAAAGTCTCCGTGGAGCAAAGGTGGAGAGAGAAGGAAGAACAGAGGAAAAGAAGATTGAAGAGGAAGAAAGACAACACACAGTAAAGCCTAGTGAAGACACAAATAAAAGAGATAGCTGGGACAGTTTGTGTAAAACAGGAGAAAGTAGAGAAGAGAAAGAGAGACGGAGAGGGCACGAGAGAGATGGACAGTCTTTTCTAGTGGAAAATAAAACCCTACACTTCACTCCTACATATATGAAATGACAAATAATCCCATTTTGTCATTCTTCTATCACTGAATTCATAAAGTCTGACACAATTACTCAAGACAGTTGTGTAATACCAAAATCAATCCTCAATTGTCTTTGGTTGTCAATGTCCATTTTCCCCAGTAGCAGCTAATATTAAAAGAGGTGTAAATGCTTGTATTTATGTAATACAAATAAATATATTTATCTTCGGTGGCAAGACTGAATGAACAGGTTATTAATTATTATTACTGTAAATCCAGTAACATACTAGTAGAAGCACTCATCAAACCCACTCCTGGTTACTGCTTTGTTAAGACAACTTGAGCTGATTCTTCACACAAAAAAATCACCGACAGTTATGTACATTGTACATAGTCGTGCACACACACACACACACACACACACACACACACACACACATAATCCGTTACCCATCAAAACCTACCATGCATGTCTCTAGATCCTCCAGCCGTTCAGCCTCCAGTATCTCAGTTGATGCCCGTTTAGGAATCTTCTCCTCTGGGACGTCCAGATCCACCGACTCCTGCCGCACCAAGGGGCGACCTCGCCTCACCAGGTGGTCTGCCTGGGAGGATGGAAGAGAAGAAGAAAGAAGAAACAGAGGGGGTTGTGGGAAGAAGATACGGGGCCAAGGAGGAGAAAGAGAAGATGTCGATAGGCGAGCGGGAAGAAAGGTCAACAGAGAGATAAGGAGTGATAAGATTGGTTGAGAAGAAGGGAGGAATTGTGAGAATTGTGGTAGAAAGAAGAAAGGGACGGATAAAAATACAATAAGGGGTTTTAGAGAGATTTACACAAATAAAAATTATGCTTACGCTACCAAAACGCTAAACTGCAATTTAGAGGGCTAAAAAGTCATTGTAAATAAATCAAGAGCTCTGTTGACTTTAGTCTTACCAGAGTGAGTTGGGAAGTGGAAAGAGCCTCCAAAATCTCATCAACAATGCGATCGGACAGGAAGGACGCTAGACTCAGCTTCACCTCACTGATACACACCAGAGAGTGACGGTCAGCAAGACGTACACAACAAACCCCAAAACAGCCACAGAAAGATCTCAGTGATACATGTGTAGTTAAATGTGTTCAACCCACAAACACACACCTGATCTTGTTGATGATATCCACCCCAGACTGCTCTAGGAGGGTTTTGGTGACAAAGCTTTTAGGTACGACCATCTTGGCTGAGCTGGCTTTCATTAGCTCTGGACGAAGATTACACCTCATCATCACATGAGGGCACAGAGACTCTGCTGCATCCACCATCGACTCCAACAGAGTCTGGAAAGAGTGAAATAAGAGATACATGGACATGAACTTGTGTGTATAATGAGAGAGCGCAGAGATTGATAATAATATACAATCTAATATATTTAATTATTAATTGTATAAAGTCCAGCCTTGTGTGAAGCACTTTATAACTCAGATTTTGAGTGATTTATATTATTATAATAAATCAAATGAAGATTCTATTCCTTTGATTTTCTGGTAACTTTTACAGCTTGTAGGTGGGGCCTATTTTCTAGTTTTCCTTCTAACTATCACAAACAGACAAATGGTGCACTGTACTGTATGTGATGATATGATGTGTATATGATGTACTTTGACTCTTTGGTAGTGTATTTAAGGTAAAAAATAAAAGACAATATAAGTTTCGGTGGCTACAATTTCTAGTTTAATTAACAATCCTTCTGTCATCTTTGCAGTAAAAGTAATGAACCTACCTGTAGCTGCTGGTCCATGACAGTTGTCACTTCTCCAGCCATAGACTCCAGTTTCTCCTGAATGGGCCCCACTGAAGAGCTGTTCACCTCCTCTCTGGCAGCGGATCCTAGGTGGTAGAGGTTGGGGAGCAGCTGGAGGAGACATAGAATGGATGCATGGATCAAATAAAGGATGTAGGAAACTACTAGAAAACTGACCTCCAAATGAGCTTCTAGATAAAACCTTTTAATTTCCTCGCACCACAAAGGCCCGTTTGTCTCTCCTCACCGTTTTAGAGTTCCTGGCATCTTTGATGAGGTTCTCTGCTGATCTGACATCATCCAAGATGAGGTCTGTCTCCGAGTTCCTCAAAGAGTTCAGGTGGTCTTGCACCTTCACACAGATCCTGTCAATCATCTGGGGAAAAAAAACAAGTCATGAACATATAGAAAGATGTTTGGTACAGTCCTACCTACTTTATAAATGATTACAGATTAAGTTTGGTCGAAAATTTAGTTTATAATACATATAAATTCGGTAATCGTTATATTTGCAAATGTTTGTTTACACACCTGTTGTGTGGTTGTGGTTACAATACCCTGCTGCAGCCGATAGGCCTGTTCCTGTAGGTATTTTCTGGTTTCATGGTTCCTGTACAGGTAATTCTCAATCTGGGGAGACGAGCACAAAGCCACCATCATGATAATAAACCAAAGTGATAATGATGTAAATCTGTTCGAAGTTGTTGCATATAACACGTTTTCGACACAATAATCCTGTAACACTATTATAAGACATCTGGAGGCTGGAGCAACCAGTGATAACTCTTTATATACCTTCAGCAAGGCATCCTCTGTTTTCTCAGGGCTGGCCTTCAGAGCCTGGGAGGCATCGATGATGGGGATGGGCATGAAACGAATGGTGAAGTTCCTAATGGAGACAGCCAGAGGACATTATTCCACAGTTAATTCACATTATAGAGGAAAGAAAAGAGTGAGACGTCTATAGAAGACATATTCCAATAAACATGAAGGAAAGTGATGCATTTAAACACACACATATAGTTTACGGTGTTATGATACACAGTTGAGGGTTTGTAATTTTATTCACTGTAGTACAATAGTAAACATAGTGAAATGCATCCACTTATTTTAATTCATTCAAGTCAATATCTGCATATGTCATCATACAATTATGCTTATTGAACTGTAACATATACATAATTAGATGTCATGGTTCAATATTCATAATAGTTCATATATGCTAATATCAGTAACACTGTAACCCCACTGGCAAAAAAAACTGTGTGTGCTGCTCTCACATTGGTCTATTACTGAGCAATAAACCGGCACCATTAAAGAGGTTACTGATCTCGAGATAGAGGTCAGCACACAGTAATAATATGCATATAATGATGGGGGAGAGGAAGGAATGAACGATGAAAGAAAAATAGAAAAAGAAATGAAGATACAGTAGATTGGAAAGCAGAAGGCACGGAGGGATGAAAATGAGGGCGTTTGGAGGCAACACAAAGGCAAGAGTATGAGTCAGATGTTGATGGTTGTCAACCTCAAAGGTAAACCGGTTAATCTCTGCTCAGATATGTATGCTTCACACACACACACACACACACACACACACACTTGACTTCTGTATGAACCCAGCTTCTCTCTTCCCTCATCTCTTCAATTCAAAGATCTGTGGTCAACCTGGCCGAGTTCCTATGAACAGGAATTCTTTTCATTTTACAACTACAACTAAAATGCTGTTTCAATATTGAAACAGAATGAGAAAAAAATACAGCTCAGAAACTGATTTTTTTAAATTGCTGCAACTGACAATAATTTTAATTACTGATTAATTTGCTGATTTCTCAAATAGTAAACATCTCTTCAAATTACCATTAACAGTCTAAAAACCCAAATATATTCTGTTTACTGTCACATAAGATTAACACATAAGATCTGCTAATCAATTAATTGACTAATCACCAGCTCTATTTGGCCATATACGGGATCGACTACACAGTTTGACGCTGCCACATATATCTACAATGCATTTATAATATTTGATCTTAATAACACTATCAAACTTTGAGAGGTGTGTAATGGCATTAAAAGCATTCATAGTGTAACTTTTAATGCTGGTGAAAATCTGTGTATTTTGTGAAATATTGACCTATAAGGAATGTAACGTAACACACACACACACACACACACACACACACACACACACACACACACACACACAAAATTGTTATTTCAATAATGCAATACAGAGACTCAGAGGGGAAATGGGTAGATGTGCTTCTGAGAGAATATGATAAACGGAGAGAAGATGAGAGAGAGGTGCATGTACAGATGTGTCCCAGAAGCAAATATATGGAGATGCACATGTCGTTTCACCCACACACACACACACACCCACACACACACACACACACACACACACACACATACAGATTCACAGACAGAAGAGATGGTAGAGGAAAATCTGATTTATTCAGTCTCGACTTTTTGTCCTTTTTGTCTCTCTTAATCTGTTCTGCTCTCTCCTACTTTCCCTTCCTCAGCATTTTTTCTTCCGCAATTGTTCCTTTGTTGTTTGTCACATTCTGGTTTCCTTCCTCGCATCCTCTCTCCTTCTCTTCCTGCCTACACACACCTCAAGGTTTCCTCCCGCTCAGCACAAATGACATTTATGCTGCAACAGCTAACCATGCATCCATCCCTTCAGAAGTGTTTGTGCAGAACACAAATGTACGTATACAGATAGAATAGAGTCATCATCAGCACACACTGACAGACAGAGCTGCTTACTTTTCCAGAGCAGCTGCGACATCCTGAAGACCCTGAGGGCTGGTGTTGTTCTTATCCCAGATCACAGTCCTGCACAGAGAAATGTGACACAAATGTTTTAAGTAGATATAAGCATTTATTAATGTATTTATCAATAAAATTCCTTATATCAGTACCTACAAGTGTATACTGTAAACAGATAATGAATAACAATAAAGTAAAATGCAGTGGTAGTAACAAAGTATGTCTTCATAGGGTAACTTATATTTTTTAATATATTTTTTTAATTTTATAATAAAATCTAAGTATATCTGCTTACAATTAAATTTTAATGTGTTATAAACAATTTATTAAAAGTAGTAAATGTAAATCATACACACTGTTCCTATTTTTTTGTCTGATTGAAAGTATTTCTTCACCTTATGTGAAGCGCTTTGAATTTCCTCTGTGTCTAAAAGGTGCTATACAAATAAAGTTGCCCAGGGCTGCAGAGGAGCCAATAGAATGTCAACTAGTGATGAAATGTGATTAATTAATTTATTATTGTTATTTATTAATAAAAATCATGTGAAATTGCCATTGATCCTCAAACATATATTCACCTGAGTTTGGAGTTGATCTGTAGCGCCTTGGCCAGCATCTTGGCTCCCATGTCCCCCATGGCGTTCCCGCTGATGTCTAACCTGGTGAGCGAGGAGTTGCTGCCGAGGGCGTTCAGCACGATGGTCAAATCACTCTTTAGTCTGGAGTCTGCTAGAGACAGGGAGGTAAGGGGCTGGGGAGGGCAGGGTTGAGGGAGAAGTGTGCATTTGGGAGGGGGAGGAGAAAAGGTGTGAAAAAGAGGGTTTATATTATGAGAACAATATCTGGAGTGTTTGTGGCAGTGTTACAGTGAAGCAGGGCAAGCATCGGTTTATCTGCCACCTGCAGGCTCTCCAATAAAGTCATAATTGATGAGCTGCCCTCCACTTCTGTGTTTATTCAACTTTGGCATCCCCAGTAAGCATTTTAAAGGAGCTTTCTTGGTCCGTGTTGTATATCACTGCCAACTTTAACAAAAGCTATTATAATTTATGTCACTAGGAGCATTAATATTCTTTTAGGCAGTGCCAGCTTGTTTTCCCATCCAAGTGTCCTTGAATTTATTCACTGTCCATGGATGCTTAATTTTCCTGTATCTTCTATTTATGTGGCTTAATTCTTCCTCTGCTTGTCATATAAATGTAGAGGTTTTTCTACAAATATTTTTCATAAGACATGTATTTGGAAAAAATGTCTTAAGATTTAATGATTTCTAATACCACATTTGGATACCTAATGTATTTCTCATAATAATAAATATAAAATTATAAAAATATAATGTTTTTGAGTTAAATCTATCTATATCTTAGCATAAATTTCTGCCCCTTAAAGTCTCGCCACCCCATGAATGTTTCTCTAGATTCGCCCCTGCTCTATGTTCCTGCTGGGCAAGGGCAATTCCCAATTAAACATTTATCAGAGGACCAGGTGTACTTGCAAGAGATCTATAAAATGTCCGAGATATTATCTTTAAAAACTCCACAGGGCCAAATGAAAAATTCAGCACTAGATCAAGTGGATTTCTTTGTGATGTGAGTGTGATGCCAGAGTTTACAAATGTCCAACAGCGCCCGTCTGTTCACCACAGTTGAGCTGCTCTATGATGCATGCCATTTACACAGCTGGAGACTCCTGGGAACAGTCTTCACTAAACACGCTGAGGCTAAAAGTAGCTCCTAACTGGCTGAGTTTTGAGAAATTCCTTAAAATGTGGGCTATGACAATTCTAATTTTAGGGCTCTTTAGTTTTTGATCAAAGAATAATTAATTTAAAAAATGTTGTGCCTAAAGCAGCTCCTACGTCTGACAGAGGAAATCCAGAGGACTCCTGCCACATCTCAATTTACCAACAAATTGAGAAAATAATGTGGATTTGCAACTACCTGAGAAAGTAACAAAATCCAGTGTGAAGATCACACTTCATATTTTGTACACGTGTCAGCTGGAAGTCACAAGAAAATGAATGGCTTCCTGTGTAGCATCTCCAACAGCACTAAATCTAAATATGAGCAGGAGACTCTCGCCTCCACATGGATTAACACAGTGGATGTCAGGCTCTGACAGTACACAGATAGTACAGAAGCATGCAGCAGTGCAAGAAACACTTAAAGTAAGGCCTGTTATCTGAGTGGTTTTTATAGCTCGACACCAAAGAAATCAAGAGATTAAAGCCAGAGTTCATGAGTTTGTGTGCTTTAGCATAAGCAAGTAGGCAACAGAGTGATGAATGATGTGTGAGTTATGACATTAACTAGTATTTCCCTCTCTAATGAGGCTTTTTTTACTTTGAAGGAGAGTGATGAGTGTGTGGAGGAATAGCATCAACACGGTTATAAAGGCAGAAAATTACTTTTTTATGTGTTGTCTGAGGATGAAGAGAAATTTATTTACTGCCTGCATGTGCTCCTGTGAGGCACAGAGCAGACATTAAACATGCAAATTTAAATAGGTAGTAGTTTATGGACCAGTAGCCACAGTAGCTAATTCTTTCTCCAGTGATGTAAAGTAGAAACAGCTAAATGAGAATAAAAAGAAAAACCTGGGCCAAAATTGTCCTGCTAACACATGAATCCAGTGCACCAATAGAAGAAGTTACAATGGTAGTCCTATCCCTCCCTATGACTGAAGCAAATGACTTTGAGCAGCTACAGCAGCTCGGATTCTCAGCCCTTATTAATCACAAAAATTAGGAAATCATTGCTCTGGGTATGCATACACGTCTTGTTTAATAAAACCGAGAAAATGAGAAATTGTAATCCAAGACACGCAAATAAAAGTGACCTTATAGCAGAGACAAATTAATCTATTTAATGGATGTTCATAAATGATGAATTGTGTTTAATATTCTGATGAAACTCATTTATCCCGCGGTGTGTGTTCAGAAATATAACATCCTGTAGAGGGGAAGAGGCTGCTCTTAGACATCGTTTTCTCTTTCACAGAATCTCCTCCTCTCTCTGCTGTCTGGTGCTTCATTTTTATTGATGTGAAAGTGATATCGACATTCTCATTTAAGTTTCATAGAAGATTTTGCTAAACTATTCCTTTAACGAGGCAGACGTACACCTTCTCACCAATGAACCGCAGAATACAGTTTGTGTATCTGTTTATATTCTGGCAGCCGTAAGATGTCCCAGGTCTAACTGTCTGGACTCAGGCCAGGACACAGAAACACAACAGGGTAAATGTGCTGCCTGGAGCTGTGTCCACACACCTGCTGCTGATTAAAATGTGAAACTTATTATCTCATGTGATGCGTGTGAGCTCTGATTGTAAGGTACTGTGTGTGTGTGTGTGTGTGTGTGTGTGTGTGTGTGTGTGTGTGTGTTTACAGTATGTGCATGTCATCAAGTCTTGCTGCATGTGTGTAAACCAGTATCCAACAAAAAAGTCCAGACTTCCCTGGCCCAAACAAATCTGTGCACCACAGCTTCTAATATCAGCAAGCCCCTGTCTGAGAATAGCTATCCTTGTATGCCACAAAAACCTTTATTTTCTAGCCACCTTCCCTTCCTAACTCCCTTCCTATCCACCCCAACTGAACATCCTTTGACCTACCACCTTTAACCTCTTCCTGTCACTTTTTCAGTAACCATCAATTCAGTTTCTCACGCTTTTTTCTTATCTCTTTGTATCCCACCTGCAAAGCCAGATAACCAGCTCATACACATAGGCTATCATCTCATGCACATAATGACACACACAGACTGAAAGCACCCAAAGACCAATCCAGCACAGAGCAGCTCAATAGGACCATCAATCTAGCACATCCGCCACAGTGGGAGACAAAAAAGGGCAGGCACTGGGGCAAAATTTGTTACGGCTCCCATGATGGAGAGAGAGATAAAATGAGTGAGATTGATTGAGGGACAAGAAGGAGGGGAGATAGTGAGAAGCTGGAGAAAATTTATTTCACTGCAGGTTTTCAGAGCAATTGAAGAAAATGATAGCTTACCCAGCATCTTTTAATAATAAATAATTCCCTCTTTAGACATTGCAGAGGGAGGTAAAATCCAATGGATGGAGGGAATCTAGATGCTAAGCTATTTCCTTACTGCATAATGTTTGAATTCTCAGTAGAGAAGAGACAGTAATACGTCAGGTAATAAAAAGTTACGGTACGTCAGTATAAATACTCGGGCCATAATCCAATGACTTGTTTCCATGATGTGTTATATGTTGGTGGTTTCCCTTTGTGGTGGAATAATTCACCCATAACTCCTACTACTATTTCTAAACTAATTAAATAATATCCAGATATTAGATTGAACAAAAAGTGTTGATCCAACTTGACCCTGAGTGAAACAGCATGAATGTTTGAGAACGGCTCTCATAAACCTGCTGCTGAATCTGACACTTTATTGATTACTGTAGGGAAATTATATTCACACCACCCTCGAAAGGAGGGGTCAGAGTTCAGTTGTAGAGCAGCTGGTGCAGATTCAGTGATTTGCCGTCCCTCACAAAAGCCAGACAGACAAGGAAATTAAAAACTCACCGACTCCTCTTCCTGAATCATATGGACCAGGCTGTCCAACACAGGAGCAAGGTTTCTAAGTCAGGTACAGGAAAAAAAGAATATACAGAAAATATACATCAGGAACATGTTTCTGTGCAATTCCATCTTGAATACAACACTATCTCTGTGGTCATCTCAACTCCCTCGTTATGTAGCAAGTGGCAAGAGTCTCCTATACTGTATTCTTACTTGGACTTGATGTTGTTGAAGTTCTTGCCCAGAGAGAGGTGTCTGATGGATCGGTTCTTGGCTAACCACACCAGCAGAGTGGACAGGTCTGAGTCTAGGCCTGCAGGTAGAAAAACAGGTGAGAAATAATAATAATTGTTGACTGATCTTATAGTTGCATGCTGAGGAGAACTAGGGTTGAAAAGTTCAGTAAATACATTTTACAATATACATGGAAGCAGCCATCTCACCATTGTCAGAGATGTCTAGGCTGGAGATGTTTGGGATCTCTGCAATACAACCTTCAAGGATCTGAGAACCTCCTGACCGCAACTGGAAAGACAGGAGGGCACATTTTAAACACACAACTACACACAACTACACACACACACACACACACACACACACAGTGCATGTGATACAATCTAGAGTACAGTCTGTTCATCTAATAACAGGACAGGTTACTAGAGCTTGTTGCACTGAATATGTGACTCTTTAATTGCCTGCTGCACTACTACTGGAAAAATACAGCTTTCGGAAAGGCCTGCACTAAAAAAGATGAACATAAAAGTCACAGTGCTTGCACAAAGGCTTGCACTGTGCAAATGTTTGTACAATTCAATAAGAGAGTCAAGGACTGTGCATAGTTTAAACCTGTGTGCATAACAAAGCAAGTGGTTTAATATCAACATCTGTATATAGTTCTTGTGAAACATGCATTTAAGCACAGCACGTTTCTAAGACAACAGACAACTAATAATGGAAACATGCAGGACAGACTTATCAAGAGGAATGACAAACATAGTAATGGAAAATGACACCTAACTTAAAATAACCATAGAGATCATTCACAGCAATTGCAGCGGGATGCAGTTAAATCTTTTCATGTGATATGTTAATAGAAAAAAACAGACCACGAGAAGAACAGGATCAGAAGAAAATTATAATATCTGCCAAAACAGACATGCAAATAAAAACGAGGAAGAATGAGATGTTAATTATTAAGAGTGAGCACACTGGTACTTACACAATGGCCAAGCTTACAGAGGCATTAGGGGGAGAGAACAGCATGTCAAAGCCATGCCAACAATTACCAGCAACAAAACACACAGATGCTTAATGATCATACTTCTATTCAAACACACACCCCCCCCAATGACACACATTTGCACAAACACTCTCGACAAGAGTCATACAGGCAGTCCTTATTTTGCATGCCGTCAGCCCACTCAGAGTTTTGGGCTGCTTCCACCAAACGGTTCATTAAGACTTCAAAAAAGGCCGCAACACATCATTTTCCCCCTGCAGCTTCAGTTTGGGAAGATTTCTATGGGAATCTGGAATTGGATTTCCTGTGTAATTTGTATTCATGGGTTATCTTTAGCAATCCCATTGAATCTGCAGCAAGCTGTCTTTTTCTATTTGAGCAGAGGAAGAGATGAAGGCGAGGAGCTGGTGTGTGTGTGTGTGTGTGTGTGTGTGTGTGTGTGTGTGTGTGTGTGTGTGTGTGTGTGTGTGTGTGTGTGTGTGTGTGTGTGAGAGAGAGTTGTGCTGAAACAATTAGAGATGGAAACTAAACCCGACCTCACCCCCACCCCTGAACATCTCTCCCTTTTTACACCCCCACCAGCTGCTTGCCAAGTATTCCATTATACAGCCTCTTAACAGTGTCACTGGCCTGTCAAATGGTTTTGGAGTGGATCCTAAAAAGCTGATTGCATTCAAACAGTATTACCTCCAAACTATTAAAAACCACACTCACCAAACTTTATCTGGAAAAAGGCACTTACATAAATGCTACCAATACTTGAAGCAGGGAGAATAAATGGATAAATATCAATAAACATCAAACCAACCAACGACGATCATGTTCCGTCAGTCTTACCTCACAGCAGCTGAGGTCTAGAGACACGTCCTTCAGATTGAGGTTACTGGCCAGGCCAAGCAGGAGAGCTCTAAAACAATATTATTATATATTACATATATTATATTGTCTCTATTTGTGAGCATAAAGTATATGTTTTGTCAATATCCAAATAATATTAATACCACTTTTAGTAAAAAACATTCAACTGCAGTGTCCTGGTTAGTGCAGGTAGAGCTGCAGCAGCTGTCCTTGCTGTGATATAGGCTGACAAGACACGTTTATTCTTACTGCTTTAAATGGGAATACAGGTGATAAAAGAAGATATGGGGGGGGGTACAGTCACAGAGAATGTGGAACAGAAGGAGCTGCTCCTCAGACACATTAAATGTGAATGAATCGTTCTCTCACTTGAGGGCCTCTGGTGGCAGCTTGGTTCCTGACACGTTGATGGAGCTGAGAGACATGGCACTGCTGAAGAAGTGCTTGAATGACGGAGGAACCTCTTTGCCTTTCCTTCAGAAACAAAAAGAAAGCAGGGAATATCAACAGTGATTCAGTACTATTTACAGTAAGGCTCAATGGTGTTGTTCCTTTTGCTGACCTGAGATTTAAGCCAACATTAACATTTTAGTACTCTTACTTTACTCATGCCCTAAAAGCCTGTGACCCATTTTAGTTTTTATCTACTGTTTAAGAAACTGTTTTAGCTCCACAAAACAAAGGATTCAGAGGAGATTTTCACAAAGGACAATCACTCAAAGTCTCAGGTATAACCTTTAACCACTACTCATCCTCCCTCTCCAATCTCCCCCCTCGTCCCTTGATGAAGTCCCCAACTCCCTAGAGACACACTGGAAAGAGAGATAATAATGGGAAGAAAACTCCACCCACCACCCATCTGTTACACACAAAATCAGCATACACACATGCAGAGGCACACACACTCTCACACACCTACACACACACACACACACACACACACACACACACACACACACACACACACACACACACACACACACACACACACACACACACACACACAGAGGCACTCAAATTCAAACACACCCGAATCGTGCACATTTACAAACCCAAACAAACACACATGCACCTTCATGCCTGTCATCCTGTAGTAGCACTTAGTCACCAGCAGGTGTCACACAGCAGCATACAGACTACAGAGTCTTTGTATTGAACTGTCATTTCAGGTCAAATGTAAATGTTGATGTAGTCAGTACTACAGTGAAGATGGGAAGGAGAATCAGACCTAAGCCTCAGTGGGGTTATAGGCTAAAGAACATTTTTCCAGCAAATACATGATGGATGATGATGTACAGGGGATCCCATTAAAACAGGTTTGGGAGGCGAATCAATATCCAGATTGCATTTAGGTCCTGACTTTACAAAAGGACAAAAGACGGCAGTTGTGGATTAACTCTGGGCTCAACTATGACTTTCAAAGTTTTCAACCTCAGTGCAGACTGATCTAAAACTGCAAAACATTTGAGATGCATGCTTGGTTTTAGCTTTAAAACAACATGTCACTGCATTTGTTTTATGAGAGGAAACAGATGTAAACTCAGTGTGACTCTCTTCATGTATTGAGGATTCAGACTGGGCTGATGGGACAACCAGGGACACAAAAAGATGGCTGGTTCTCATTCAATTATTGAGGTTTAAAGGAAGGGAAATAATGATGTGTTATATTTGTAAGAAAGTTTAAGTACAAATTTACTTTATGAAATTTTATGAAAATAAAGAATTTTGCAAATAAATTATTTTTAACAAAATTATAATTACAGTCTCACTTTTCTAGCTTTTGTTTCCCATTATTATGTAATAATGTTTTTTTTTTTACTGTTATTCCTCTATTGTGCAACTGTCTGTCCCCCATTGTGGCATGTGCTGTACTTCCTGTGGTATTTGGGAAATCTTGGCAAACACACTCTTGATCAACAAACCTTGTAGGAGACAAGCAAATTCATTTGTTTTCCTCATTGTCACTGTGACTGTGACTGTCAGTACAACCCAGATGGGTTCTTACCTGTGAGGGAAGACGCTTTTTGACACGTTAAGAACAGAGAGGTGTTGAACTGAGCCTCGCAGCAGGGCCGAGCAAACCTGGAAAATTCACAGAATATATCACCACCAATTGTCAAGGGGTTTTGAACACATCACGCTGTTATTCTTTGTAACTTCCAACCCTCACTTTTCCCCTCTGACTGTGACAGACAAAGAGAGAAGAAGAAAGCTTTGTGTCTGTGTTTAGAAGTGTGTAAATGTATATATCTGGCTGTACGTGAGAAAGACACAATATGATATACGATCTAATGAATATCTTTAGTGACACACTGACAGCTGGCTACATCTCAGACTAATCAATAAGGTGTATTTGGCTCGCAAACCCACATCAATACATCACATGCATCACATACAGCCTTAACAGCAATGTACAACACAGATTGAGAGGGTGTATAAAATTGGATTACATTCCCTGCAACACATATTAATGGCTAGCACTTCATCTCACAATGCAGTTTAATGAGGCACAACTGTAATTGCATGTTGTTTGTTTTTGTAATTCTCTGATTCTGTAGGGCCTGTTTTTCTTCAAATATGTGTTATCCATGACCATACATCTCTTTACCCAATTATGTTTAAATTTTGCTCCCTTTATCCTGTGAGTACCAGGCAGGATATCATTTGAGTGTTCCTCTTGACTCACCTGGTCCAATGAGCAGTCAGTGTTGGAGAGGTCAAGGGTTGCCAGGCTGTTGGGTTGACCCAGGAAGTGGTAGAAATGCTAAAATGTAAAGCAAAACATAACATATTTTCACATATTTCAAATATTTCATACATCACCACATATGTCCAATCAGTTGTTGGATTCTGATCTTCACACCCAGTGGAGACTCTTCATTTGTAAACTTACAAGGGTAGCTGTCACCAGTCCTTATGCTAAGCTTACTAGCTACTGGTGCTAACTTTAAACGTATTGTACATACATGAGAGTGGTATCAATCTTCTCATCTAAGTCTAGGCAAAAAAGGGAATATGTGTGTTTCCCAAAATGGTAAAATATTCCTTTAAAAAAACCAAGTCCAGCTACAAACACAGTATATCACAGTGAATTCTGATTTGTAACCCCACAGTAGGGTGTTTGTCTCACATCGCTGTTTCTGTGCTCTGAACAGATGTAGAATGTCCTGAATCAATGCTCTCCTACAGAGCGACATGCTAACTGATTTATAACGGCCTGAAAAGGCCCCCACAAAACTGCACCACTGAACTCTTTCAATCAATTAAGTGTTATTGATACTAGCTTTAAGATGGATTAGAAAATGTGTGTGTGTTTGTACCTGCATGTCGTCTCCTCGGAGGACATTCCCTGAGAGGTCCAGATGGACCAGGCTGCTGGGGATGGACGGGTTGGCACTCAGTGACTGGCAAAGGCTATTCACCCCTAAAACACACACACATACACACACACGCAATGTCAGCATTATCACAACCCTCAAATCTCCACTTGATGTTTTGACAGCATATTGAAGGAAATAGCAGAGGAAATGAGCAGTGGGTGAAGACAGGAAAGAACAAGATCAGAATGTAGAATGAATGCATGGAAAGTGAAGAGAGTACACTTTCTCATGGTTTTCTAAATGTAATGCTGCAGCTTTGTCACCGTCATGCTATGTTAAGGATGAGGCATTCTCCTTTTTTATTTGTCATAAGACAATATATGACAATAAACTAATTAAAAGCATGACTGTAATTAACAGTTAACATTAACATCAAGCTCTATACAACCAAATGAAGTGCTGCAATTGTTCAAATATTGGGATGTATCTGAGAGACAGAAAATGTCTGTGAGAGTCAGTGATTTACATTGGTGCATAAAAGTTCAAGATGCAATTACCCCAATTAAAAAAGGTTTCCAACATCTTTGCATTGGTAAAATCAGATTTATTTATAAACTAATTCCTCCTCTTTTTAAGCTGCTTAAAATGATCCAAAGAAATAAAATATAACTATCTGTACCATATTTAATTGCATACCATCATATTCTTTTGCATTCCACCATAACCCGCTGAGCCACATTGGGTTAAATCAAATTGTGTTGAACTGCATTGCAATAGGGATGAATATTGCATTGGTAGTTGCTCCATATCTACCTTTACTGTATCGGATTGTTGGCATTGCATTGTGATGCGTATTGCAGCAGCCTGAGTTATGGAGATGCACATCCCTCGTGAGTTTACAAGTCCTTGCATGCATGGATTTCTATTGCACAGTGTGTGCGTCATATTGACATACTGTGCGTACAAGCACTGACCCATGTCACGTCTATCTCATGGCTGACTCACTGAACTAACACTTTTAGTCTGTCTGCCAGTAAATCAAGGCATGAATGTAAAGTAACTGATTTCACAGAGCTAGACAGAGAAGAAGAGTCGGAAAAAGACAGTAATTAAGTAAAAAAAATAGAGAAATACACAGAAATAATGATGATTAAGAAAGAGAATTTTAAGAAAGAAGATTTTTGTAATAGATTAAAACGTTTCAACATTTTCAAGTTACATTCTGCTGGAATTTAATTTTAAAAGATGAAATGATGATCTGCTAATGTCAGAGCTTCATCAAATAATACCGGTACCAGTTGTCCTCAATCCTCTACGTTTGCTCCAAGCGTTGGGGGCTTTTGGGGTTTGGATTATGGATTGGGCCTTTAGCTAGACAAGCAGGCCGCAGTTTTCAGCAGCACAGCCCTCTCACAATGAAATATGATAGCTCTTTATTGATTGCCTGAGAGCAAAACATGTTTACAGTGGGTCCCTAAGGATGCTGCTTGGTGGTGGAGCGTTTACTTTGGGTGCGAACCAAGAAGAAAATTTACCTACAAGTGATTGCTGACAACGGCCACATTTAATCTAGAAATTATGTGAAGAACGACAACAAATCTTTGCAGTTTTTTTGCACAATCAGTCCCTACAATGTATTTCATTAAAGGCCATTACTACAGAAGGACTTTCCCATACGCAGAGAGGTTACAGCTCTGCTGACTGAAGGGAAATGGTCTAAAGCAGCATTTATGTAAATGAAAACATGCATACTGTTCACAGATTATTTTTGCACACTCACACATTACAAATACACCCTTTTCTTTCCCTCTCTGTCACAGTTAATAGTGTGATAATTGAGTGTCATTAGCATCTCAGCAGTAGGTATGATCAGTTTAGTGGAAGATGTGAATTCATCTGACCACAGGGGAGCATGCAAATTAAAAACTCAACCAGGAAAAACAGCTGTATCACAATATTTATATTTGTATTTTAATCATTCCGACCAACCTCCATTTCAAAATTGCAAATGTTTTTATCCACATGGTTTTAGGAACCGTGTACGAGGAAAGACAGCACATACCTTTGGGTGAGAGTGAGGTTTTGGAGAAGTTTAAATGCTTGAGCCCCATTCGAAGTTTGGCAAACTGAGCACCCAGGGAAGAGATACCTGCAGCAAGAGAGGGTCAATGATTTTCCTCTTCTCTGTTCTCTTTCATGGGTTGCTTTTTTTCACCCAATGTGACCATAACGACTTTTATATTTTAAATACAAACCACCGTGCTTAACTACTATGTACAGTCTATGTTATCACCCAACTTATCACAAGTTTCTGCTGTATTAAAATCTAACTTGCAGTTGCCTATATAAGTTAAGATTTCTGTAACACGCAATAGCCATGAAAAACTGATTATCATTCTATCAAGGAAAAATGAAGCAGAAATGTATTTAAATATGAAAACTATTAACAGAACATTGTGGTGAATTTTACATGAGAACAAATAAGCAAGAGGCTGTTGAGCCCCATAAATCTGTGGTATGTTTACATGCGACTGCCTGAATATTTGGTGGAATGTATCTTTAATTCATGTGTCCTGGATAGACTGAGAGCCCTTAGGACAGAGGTGATGAAATATTTAACTTGTTGCACTCGCTGTCCTGTAACAAGTGAACCTAAACTGTCAATATCATAATACTCTGTATCTGTGACAGGCTGTGGTATATACGATATACAATAAATGAATGTTGCATGTTTACCAATTGGCAGAGACGTCTGACTGCTAAATGAGTACTGAATCTTTAACATATTCAATATTTCACTTTGGTAGAAGAGTTACCTTTGACACCTGATATAAAACAGAGCTGTTTAGAACAGTACAAAGTATAACAGAGCAGACATGAGTACATTAGACAAAATTAGAGCTCATATCTTACCTCTGTCCTCCAGTGGGTTGTTGGCAAGATTAATGGTGGTGAGTCCTGAGCTGGGGTTATGGGCCAGGGCAGCAGCTAGCTTTTGGGCAAAATCACTGTAGAGCGTGAAAGAGTGTATCCATTATGTGGTGTATGACCAATGCACTGCACGTGTGCAACCTATCAAACACTTTAGGCAACATAAATATCCTTTTCTTGCCATGACAGGAAAGCAGAGCAGAAGAGAGGTGATTAGGCCTTTGATATTTGACACTGATATGTCACAATGGGAAAAGCACTGGTCTAGATAATAAAATTAATGATGGCTGAATTCCATTTAGCTGCCTGAGTTTCAGGGTCCTGGTATTGTACATGCTGGCTCATTGTCTACTGGGACACATTCATCAATATGGCAAACTGAATTTTCTTCCTGATTTTTACTAGATTTGGTCTCATCAAACAGCCAACATGTCAGCACTAAACTGATGACAAAACTTGACCCAAAAGTATAATAGGAAATAATTTCCTGCACACAGCTGACATCCAGCAAACATTATTAGTACTCACAGAGCTGCTGAATTTATTAAACAAGTAAGTATAGAACATTTTTATCTTCGTCACTATCTGACAACAGTGGCGGATCTGTAAATTACATTTATTTTGGTTACGGACACATTAAAAACACATTTTATCTTGCTTTGATACTTTGATAAATAGTTGTATTAAAAATATGTTCTGCCAATATAGTTTGACAAAGTATTTTAGAATCTTGTGAGTTAATCATGATTTAATACTGCATTTTCATTAAAGGTTAGGGGACTATTGATAGACAGATTTAAACAAAAATAATAATAAAAAATAAAAAAATGAATGCAATGGGAGAGATACCCAGACTTTTTGTTGCTTGTATGGTCAAGATCTAGAAAGCTTGGATCCTACACCTCCCATAATGCAAGGTAATGTCTTTCATTAGACCTTTCCTGCCTGAAAAATACCAACATCTTTCAAACTCCACACCACGAGTTTGTAACACAGGTTTTATGCTAAAAATAGTCTCCAAGCTGTAGTCATTACACTCGAGTAATTTTCTCTACACTTGACAGAGGCACAGTAATACTCTTCATTATAAGTGACATTAAATAGTTTCCATATTCTCACGTTTTGAGTCCTGCGTTGTCCAGAACCAATTCTTCCAGTCGACTGGAGCGAGACACTACCCGAAGGATCTGCTCGCACACATCTGCAGACTGAAGACACATACATACATGTACACAACACAGATGTCTTATAATATTAATAACTCTGCAAGTAGTATCGTTTCAACAATACAGAAAAACATCTCTATTTGCTATAGTTTTTGTATTTCTACTCTATAAAACAATAAACAGTGAGGGTGATTTGAAATGTGAAAAACTGATATAATGATAATAATCACATATTATGAGTCTCACACTCACTGATCCACAAGTCAAAACCATAAAAACCGAACCAGCTTACTATTAACTTTTATCTAGAACAGCAAAGCTTGGATTGAAACATTCAAGGTCACAAGTATAACACAGGAATTTACTTTTGGGACCCAAGTGTTCCTGCGGTGAAACCACTCATTCATGCTAATTAAAGCTGTACTGCAGAACGTAGCTAATTCTGTCTCTTTCGCTTAAAGACCATTAATGCGTGACAAGAGACTGGGGACAGCAGACTTTAGACACTTTAGAGGGAGAAAAGTTGTCTCGCTTCTGTGGTCTCAACACCACAGGAGACAGAGTCGGGGAAGAAAGAGCACTCACATTCAAACAAAATTAAAAATTCAACAGTTGGACGTCAATGTCCTACCTAGATGTTCACTGACCCAGTTCACTCTTTGCTGCGTCACTACTCAGACTTGGAGACAAACACACATCCTTGTCTGCCGTCCTACAGTTGTATAATAATTCTATTTTTTCTACACTAATTATCTGCACTGATGCATAACACAAACATTTTCCATCAGAACTTTACTGGACCATTGTTTTGTTGATATTCTTGGTAATTGACATTCCTGTTTCTCTCAGCCAGCAGCCCCAGTGTGGCACAAAACACTGGTAACATTGTCCCACACTGTTATCTACAGTGAGGGGGAGAGAAAGAAGGGAGAAAATGAGAGAGGGATAATGGCGAGAGAAAGAGACAACGAGAGGGAGAGACAGAAGAAAGGGGCTGTTGTTCACATGTTTACTCTGTGAAACTGTGAGTATTACAAGAGGAATAAGAATGATGGAGGGCAGCGAGGGATGACACATAATACAGAAAAGGGAGATATGAGGGTAGTGAGGGATGAAATAGAAAAAAAGAGGGGGGAGAGAGAGAGGAGTCGGTCATAGCTTAGCAGACAGAGAGAGGGAGCACAAAGAAGCCTGTATTCACAATAAAACTGTTGGGGACAGCACAGAGGCACTGTCAGCATGTGCACTGCACCATTTACCATTCATTAAATAAGAGCCTTGTCATGCTGTGCTGTTCTAACCCTATGTCCTGCTGAAATATCACACACACAAACACACTGTGCTATCATATCATGAGGTAATCAGAAGGCAAGTCCTCTTATCACTTGCTGTCCTCTCCTCTTATTCTCCTCCTTTCTCATTTTCAGCTCAGCATCTTGATTACACCACAAGACAAACAGCCTGATTGAACTGAGGATGAACAGCATAATATCTCGCTGTGATATTCGACTGCGTGTGTGTGTGTGTGTGTGTGTGTGTGTGTGTTGTGTGTGTGTGTGTGTGTGTGTCTGGGAGAGAGAGGGAGAGGGACGGAGTGTGTGTTTTTAGAATGTGTGTGTTGTATTATCCAGTTCACTTACACTGAGAGATTCCTTATCTCGGTTTGATTGAGATGGTAGATTATAATTTAGACCGGAGGGCTTGTGCTTGTGCTCCATCTGACTCACTTTTTCTTTTTCCTCCTGCTTTATGATCCACAGACAATTCTTTGTGATATTCCTAATGAAACTGTACAAGGTTGCGCAGATGCAGTAGTTCAGGCTGATGGACGGTGTTGCCCTTGAGTTGAACTTTTGCATGCCAATAGATTTGGCAGGAACATCAACTGACTTACTGCTGGATAGTAAAGATGACTTTCCCAAGCTGGAAATGTCACGTTCCTCTTGCTCTGGCTTCATTCTTTAAATCGGATCTCTCTTTCCTGATACCTTCTGACTCATTTCCTTATTCATCGGGCATCTTTCCCATTCACTCTGTCCACTGACCTCTCCACTGACCTTTATGTTGCTATCTCACTGCTCTGTTTGCTGCCATCACTTTCACTCTCTGTTCCCCTCTTATTTTTCTGTCTAACTTGTTATTGTTTCCACTGGCATGGGATCAAAAACAAAATCCATTCCAGAGCACATCCTTGCACCCCTTGTCTCTCCATTATCAACATATAAACCTCCATACAGAGAAAACAAAAGGGAAAATAAGACTGAAGTTTCCTTAAAAATCATCCAATGGATTTTCTGTTGCATTAAACAGAAACCAAACAAAAAATCTGCTTCCCTGCACGACAAACACTGTCCGGAACACAAGAAGTGGTCTATCTGACTAACATTAGTTATGCTCAAGTAACACACAATATAATATAGAATGAACATGCACTGAAAACACAAACACCTTAGGGTCCATTATAATACACACCAACGTGGGATAAGACAGGACACGTGTTCAACACAAGGTGCACATGTGCCTGTGTGAGCATTTGAGCCTAAATATGCACATAGTATGGTGATGGACAGGATTTTAAAATTCAATACAAAAGGAATTGTCTGTGACGGAGGCGTGAGATAATTGTTTGGACTGAGGAAGCTGCATGTGGTAATTGGTGAGACTGAGCAAAGCCATGAGATGGAGAGTTAGTAATAGAGTGCTGCAGGGGGGCAACAGCCTGAGACATTGAGCCCCTTTGTCTGGTTAGGATTAAGAGTCTTATCACACGAGAACATTGGACTGATCCTCAGTCAATAGGCAGGAGTGGAAGATGGAGGAAACAAAGGGAGAAATATTCTGTACAGGCAGATACATACAGCTAGTTAGGCAGAGGTAGAGTGAGAGACATGTACTGTAGTAAATGCAGACAGAGAGCGGACAGCCTATATGTTGTAAATATATGTTACAGGGAGAGAAATCGTAGCTAGCTGTGTGGCTCTATGGATGGCAATTTTAGCCTGTTGGTTGGTGGGTCTGTCAGTCCATCCCAGTCCACCACTTTGGTCCAGGCTCAAAACTTGCTAGCATGCCGACATTAGCATTTAGCTCCAAGGACTGAGTCTATATGCACAGCCCTGCAGAGTTGCTAGCATGGCGGTTGACTCTTTGCCTTGCTTACACAGTGGTTCTCCACGTTCTGGCCAAATCAGCTGGTGTCTGCCCGCCACTTTAGATATGGTATTTGACAGATGGGACAGAGAGACACAGTTCTGTCCGAGCCCTCACCCCACTTTTTAATGCATGGGTATAAAACTAATACTGCTACAGTCTAATCAGAAACTGCTCCAGTGCAGTAAAGAAGTGAGAAGCAGGACCTTAACCTTTATAAAAGTTAAAGGAAGAGCAAACTGGCAGACTGGAAGAGACGTATCCATTTGTCTTAAGTAGTTATTCTCCTAACTATCTACTCTGAGATGGAATTAAATCTGGATTATCAGACTAACACTATTTTTTTGTGAACAACTTTTTATTGTTTTTAAATGTAAACAAGTCCAGCAGTCAGACAACAGTACAGGCACATTGCAATCTACAGACTAACACTATTATACTGTTTATCCACCATAATGCAGTGATGCTTTACAACCTGTAAGTAGACAAAGGAACTACTGGGATGGGAAATTAAAGAGGTAACAAAACAATTCAAAATACAAAATTGCCTTTGTTATATTTAATCGCATAAAGGTGAATCGACAGCTCACAATAATCGGTGTAAATAAATTAGTTTAAATTAGAGCCCGGCCAATATATCAGTCTGCCAATATTGGCCTAGTGCAGACATAGCGGTATTGGCATATGTTATCTGATATGCGGCAATAAGAAGACTGTTTTTTACCCCTGGTATAGAATGAAATTAAGTTTACTGCAAAGTTTATGCAGCAGTGCACTGTGATTTACAATTCTGTGACAAGCAGCACAGAGTAAGAGAGAAGATGTCAACAAGAATTGGTTGATAATGTATAAGTTGAATTATTTAACATGTTAAGGAATATTCGACTTATATATTCTTTGATACCGTATTTGTTTAAGAAAGCAGCCTTTTGAGTGACTTTGTATATCGGTAGACAATCCACATAGAGAAGGTCCATTTTAACTTCAGCTCAAAGTTTCACTAGATCGGCCACCATATCGGTAATCTGTGAGTTTTTCCCTCTAAAATTGGTAAAATCCTATTTTGGTTCGGGCTCTCGTTTAATGGAAGGAGTTGACCTAAAAAGACTACCATGAAGCCCCAAGCAGGGAGCTGACCTGCAGTGACTCCCTGCCATTTTTTCCAAAGCTTAAACACCATTAGTGTAACATGTGACTGAGAATCATCTTGGTCATGGTCTTTCAAGCCTAGCTATCAGAAGACCACAATAATTGTGGTTTTGAGTTTCCCAAACTGAACAGACAGGTTTAGTGTGCAAGCGAGAGAAGGACTTTGAGAAGAGGGGTACTAACCAGTTTATAATCCTTGGTGGAGAGCTTGGTGAACCACTGGTTAAACTCCAGCACTGCTATTATAGCCACCAGATCCCTGAGAAGCAGCAGACAAGGGAGGAAAGACGAGGTCATCTTGGGTTAGTGCTGACTTTTCACATTAAAATTAAATCATGCCACACCTACCTCTTATTTTTAATTTTGTGTAATGTTTTCAGCTACATGGCCTCATCTGTGTGCAACATTTTCCCACATTTTGTCGGTTTTATTTTATCTCTGTAACTTCAAGAACTCACCTGTTCTCCAGATGACTGAAGTCCTGCAGGTTGAGTTCTCTGGTGTCTTGTGTCAAGTAGATAGTGTCCACATCCTGGAAAGGAAACAAAGGAAACACGTCAGTGAATATATATATATATATATATATAGAAACAAGCAATTTCACAGAGCAGATGAAACATAGCCTACAGAGAAAGAGATATTCCATTTTGTACCAGAGGGAGCAAGAGCATGAAAAAGAACTTGAGAAATATAAAGTCTGTCTTATCTTTCTTATATCTTATCTCATATGGGGGGACATGGATAATATATTCATACACAATATATTCATGTGCTGTGCTGTAGAGTTTTACATCATCCAGTCAACAGCACTGATGCTCAGTTCAACCAGGATCTGTCAATGCTGTGAAATTGCACAAAAGAATGTAAATAATCATACTGACCCACTGCACCTCTTCTTTGTAAGGCAGCCCCAACCAGTCACAAACACATCTGTACATCTGCGAAAACCCACCTAGGATTAGACAGAGAACACAACAATGCATATTAATTACAGAAAGGCTTGGGCTGTCCATCTCTCCAAAAAGCTGTGGGATATGGATTGTGCAAAAATGCATGTAATATGCAACTACAACCAGTTCAGTCACAAATGAGTGGCTTTAATTCGCCATGTAAAACAATTATAACCTTGATGTAAACTCACTATTTAACTAACTTTAACAACCTCACACACAAACACAATACAGATTCCTACCACAGGGTCCAGGTTCAGCAGGCTTGTTGTTCTCCCACAGAGTCTGCAGAGAGTTCAGCCTGTCTGGAGGCTCCATGCAGAGCTTCTTCATCACTTTACTAAGAAGAAAAGACAATTAGGAAATAATTTACTCATCCCATTTCTACACTTCCTAAATATTGTGGCTGGTGACATTGTCAAAAGCCTACCCTCACTTTAAAAGATTTTGAAACAAGCAGCTCCAGGCTACTTTCTCACTGTCTTACTTGTCAATGGACACTGTCCAAGCAGGAAGTTGCTGAGTACTAACGAGTACTAACGAGTATTCCAGTGACTTAAAATGAAGTAACTAACTAAACCACGCGATTAATACCTAATGTGAAAAACAACAAAAAACAAAAACAAAAACAAAACATAACCAATGTAGCATTAAATCAACCGCAGCTCAAAAAACCATCAGTCTCTCCGTCAAGTCAAAGACTTTGTCCTGTTCACAAGATATAAATGTTTATGGTTTTACATCTGTGGTCATTTCTGCATTTAGATTCATGCTTCCTGTTCTTAACAAAACATATTCTATGAGATTCACATCCGCATTATAATACCTAAAATAGATGTTAGAGTACACTGAAGATACTTAAATACATACAGTGTAACATGTAAATTAAAAATTTTTGATGTTGTTTTGCTGCTTTTATGTTTTTATGTAAAGTGTCTTTGAGTATTTAGAAATTATTATTAAAATGCATTTGCACACAGACACACAGACACACACACACAGAGGGGGAACTCACCTAGGTGGTAGACCGGGACATATCCTCAGCAGACAGTTTCCTATATGAGCAACCACCTCATTGACCTCCTCTGTAGAGAGCAGCTTCAAAGAGAAGGAGCTACGCTCGTAGTCTATGAACAGCTAAAAGGAGACATCAGATATGATTGATCCACACCAGCATGCACAGTTTCACCTAAACCTGCTTCAACCAACATTGGTGCATTGTGTGTCTATATATGTGCATCTTGTATCTTTGTTTCCATTTCATATTCCACTTTTCTGCCCATCTATCTACTGACTCATCCCAGCAATAATATCCATCAATCCAATAAACCACATCAACATTCCACATCTTTGTATTAAGTACAAATAAAGATTTAATGACATTTACCAAGAGTGGCTAACCATTTCAGCATTCAGCGCAATTATGCAAATGATGATGTAAGATGATACAGGCCTCCTTTATAGGCCAAAATTAACATAATCTTAGCTGATACTTATTAAACATGGGAGACCATCAGTCAAGATATTAAGAGGACTGACATCTCTCGAGATGAGTGGGAGAAAGGCTCAGCTGTAGAAACAGTGTGGTTAGTGACGGATTATCATATTTTGTAGGTAGATCCCGCTGACTGACAGCTACAGGCACCGGTCAAAAAGCCAAATGGAAGCTCTTCCCAGATGGGAAACATCTTCCCCAGAGCTATCATTTCTGGGCCAACACCTCTTTTTGGTGTCTCGCACATATATTAATTACTCTTTAAGAATTATGCAAGCATTCAAGATATTTAGCTGCCCATCTTCTCAGTTTAGTATCTGTTGTGATCACAGGCGCTGTCCTTAAACTGGAAAAGTTGGGTTCAAGTGCCTGTATCAGTAAACATCCATCCTGTTTATGTAAGAATCCTTTAATCTGAATATATGAAACCAGCATAAATGTATACCGTGTGTTACAACACGTTATATTACGGACAACATCAGATTCAATTAAGTACAATTTGAAGGAATAGCTTGACATTTTGGAAAAAACACAGAGATGAGGTTAGCTTAGCATAAAGACTGGAAACAGGGGGAAACAGCTGGACCTGGATCTATCCAAAGTTAACAAATATGCCTACTAACACCTCTAAAGATCATTAATAAACATGCTGTATCTCAGCTCTTTAAGTTGAACACTAACAGAAATGCTTTGGAGGGAGTGAAGCTAGCTGTTTCCCCCTGCTTCCAGTCTTAATGCTAAGCTTAGATAAGCTAAGTTAACTAGTCACCTCTTGGCTCTAGCTCTATGCTTAACGCAGAGAGTGTGGAGTAGATCTTTATATCTATTGGCAAGAAAGTGAGTCAGTCATAATGTGGAACTATTACTTTAATCATTTGTACTTGCAGAGTGTGTGGGACAGTTCATTTTGGTGCAAGCTTCTGTACCTGTGTTGGCTTGTTACAAGCAATCCCTTGGATCTCCAGATAATTAAAGGAGTGTTCCACCTAAAAAAAGAACACAGAAAAGCATACCATTAAATTACTTACACTATGTAGGCCTACTGAACATGTATTTTAAGAAAAATGATGCATGGCAGTGTGCTCAGGGTAATATATATTAACTAAAATAACTTATAAATTATAGTATAGTTATGTTTGAGTGTGCACCAGGCGTGTGGTGCAGATTTAACCCACGTAAACTCAGTTTATCCACTTCAGTGAAATGAGGCTTAGAGTAGAGCTAGAGTTTATTCATCTATTTTCAGATCAACTGTATCAATCAATGAGGGGACAACTCTGTATTTACTACTACACATCCTTGGTGGGTGCAAGTATTTGAATGAATGAATGTGGTGTTCATGTGCTTGTGTGAGAGCATACAGTATGTGTACTGTAGGAGAGTAATCCTGCCTAATAACAACAGTGTGGTACAGTGTCTGTCTAAGGAATGCTGAGTAAAAATATGTCTTTTCCATAATTAGTAGGTTGGGATGCAGTCATTTCCTTTTTCTTTCTCAGCTGCTGTGCAGACTATGTCATCACTCACTCACACATTTAGGTTACATGGTTTTTCAAAGCAGCATTAAAATAGACACATTTGTAGGTTCAAATGAAAACTAAGACTGGGAGCTGAGATGCAGTCACTTAATTGTGGAACTAAATCAGCTCTTTTATCCCACTTATGCCAGAATTTAATCTCTACCAGCTGAGTTCATTTAAAATGCAACCACTCATGCACTGTTCATTTTCTTGCTCATTTGCAAAAAGCATTTGTTCTGAATTGCTAGTAGTTATACATAAGGTAAGACACTTAGAACTCTTACGCATTTGTGTTCCCTTTAAGTGTGTACAATTTGCCTCCTGAATAGTTTTAATTGAAAATGAGTCAATTTCAGCATTCACAATGTAATGTCAATTGAAAAAAGACCCCCTCCTTATTTCTCTAGGCTTTTCAAAAGGCTAAAAACAACCAGAACAGTCTTACATTCTCATTTTCTCTTTGTTTTCAAGAGAGCATTTCAGGACAAAGAAAAGCAGCAATCTGGCCTTTCTATTCCTAAAAAGGACAGAAAAAGATATCCTTTTGTGTGAGGAGGGGGGAATACAAATGCCTACCACTGTATACGGAGCACACAGTTTTCCTTCACTCCCTTTCTATCTTTCTTTATTCTTATCCCTCATACACACACAGACTTACAGTACTGTACAGTGCCTGAGGGCAGGCCAGGGAGCCAGGCCAGACTATTCCAGGTGGGCGCTGTGTTCCTGAGGCTTGGCTCAGAGATGAGAGGAGGGAGAGGATAAGCAGACTGTCTGTCTACTGTCTGACTACAGCTTGCAGTGTGTGTGCACTGCCTGTGGTTACTTCACTCATGTTTACCAGCTAGAAATACTTCCACAATAAATTCACAATAACAGTTCCTTTATTTATGGTACATTTCAAACACACATACACACACAACATTGAGTGGACTATTCAAAAGGAAACGAGTCTAATAGACAATAACACTGTAGAAAAAGAAATCAAAGCTAAAAAACAGACACAATTAGCTAAGATCTTAGAAAAGGAAACGTTGATTCAAAAACAGTAAAAAAGACTCAGGGGTTTTAGCTGTTACAGCCTTACTCTATCTGGTATGCCCAGTTTACAGTATGGTGGCTAATATTGTTGGCAAACTTTAGTTAGATGCTACTGTATAATGGCATTGCTAAATAATGTCACTGACTTTAAGACTTTTCCTATGACTTGTGCTTCTGCAACATTTTAGAATCATCCTGAAGGCAAAGTAACTACAAATTCTCATTAAATCAATCAAATCTATCAGACATTCTATTTGGGGAAAATGTTCACACACCTTTTTCAGAGCGTAGGAGGCAACTAACTTCTGTATAATACAGTTTACAGTATGTGTCATTACACACTCACCCAGGTATGATGGGAAAGTCAGATTAGCTTTTCCAGTCAATCAAATGTTGCAACTGCAACAGTAAAATCCTGCTTTTACACGCAGGCGTAATGATAATCAAACTATATAATATATAATAGTATAACAGTCACAGGGACAATTTCTCTGCCTTGAGTACTTTCACTTTTAATACTTTAAATGCATTAAGACTTTGTGTGGTCATAGTACTTTTACTTAAGTAAAGGATCTCAATACTTCCTCCACCACTGGCTCATACTAAGGTCTGGAATACAGGCTGCTACAGTACTACAGTACATGTTGTTGTACATCACTCTACAGTAACAGCACAAACTAATTGCTGTATGTTACAATATGCAGTTCAACTTGAACTGGATAACTCAGTTCATTTCGTATAGCCAGTAAATGGCATGATAGCATATTGAATGAGCGCCAGCCAATGATAAGTGAGAGTTCTAATAAATATGAGCTCTAGCCAATGGCAAGATTCATGCTGAGAGGTGTGGGGAGGAACCAAACGCCTGAGTAATTGCATCGTTCACTCATTCGTTCACTGTCCGTCTGTCACTTTTCTTTTTGTTGTATTTTCATGGAAAATTCAACTTGTATTTGTGGTCATGCAGAGGATGATTTGTATGATGATTTTATTGTTTCAGTGAGCTACAGTATGAGAGTAAACTGTAAATGTTAGGATTATTGGGATTTATAAACATTTGTCTGTTAATGAGAGTTCAGAATGTAAGACAGCTACATGTTCATGTTTGTTTCTTTGAGATGGTTTGCATTCGATTAAATGAAATGTTCTGCATTTTGTTTTGTCTGTGTATCTTAGTGATGACAGGTATGTTTACCGTAATCTTTTGTTACATAAACTCCACTACTTCTGAAAGAAAGAGTGTACATGTATGTGAAATATACAAATATACAGAAAAAAGAGGCAAGAAGAAACAAGACAATGATGAATGAAACATTGCTTTTTGGGGTGAGCATGTGTGCATGTTTGGGTGGAGACACTAACAGACTGTAAGACCCTGCAGCTTCTAGAGAGGAGCCAAAATCTCTCACATACACACACACGCACAAGCGCGCGCACACACACACACACACACACACACACACACACACACACACACACACACACACACACACACACACACACACACACACACACACACACACACACACACAAAACCCCAGTCAGAAGTGCATGAGAGAGCTAGAGGGGGATACATCTGAGAGAAGAGAGATACATAGTAAAGTGTTAAACTGAGAGTTTACTGCTACTGCAAAACAGTTACTTTAATATTAAGACCTTGGGCTACCCTCAGAAGAGCCTTACTGACGAAATCCCCACCTACTGATTATTCTCTTGTGTGTTTTAGATGGATCTCTTGTATTCCAAACAGATATTCATCTAACATACGACAGATCAAACCCTGAGAGCCTGCAATAAATTCAGATGGCCAGAAGCATAACTCAAGATCCAACACTGCCTCAGCTTTGATTGAACAAAAAACGACTTTAGCAGAAAACTAGACAACTGTATCTACAGAGGACGTATAAAGTCAATAGCTCATGTGTTGGAACAGTGGGCAGAGGCTAATCTTCATTTGCAGTTGACTCATCTCCACTGTAACATAGATTTCACATCAAAAAAATCAATAAAAGGAGAAATACTGTAACAGTCAGCTCTTTTATGGATGTTGGCAAGCTTCAATGACAGTATGCAGCACGAACCAGGAATACAGCACTACAACACTTCTTGTAACACTGTGACAATCTGAACAAAAAAGATCCTTAAGCCATATAAAGTTTGAATAAAATCTGCAATAATAAAATCTGGGAATGATGAGTCAATTAAACATAAAATATATTGAAAACAACTGTAACAATCGATGCATCCCTTTGTAAATTCATTATCTTTGTAAATTGAATATTGTCCATTTTGTGGCCTTTTGGATGCATTTCTGGTTCTGGGAATGTGTAATCTACATTTTTCCCTATTTTCCGACATTTAAGTGATTAATAAAAATATCTGCAGAGTAACTCATATTGGAAATAATCCTTAGTTTAATTGATTACCTTAAAGATAACCCACATTCAATGATTCAATTGGATTTAAGAACACGTAGGTTATCCCTGCTGACCTTTGGCATAGTGGCGAGTGGGGGAGGAAAAACAGATAGATAAATGGAAAGAGACAGGGATGAAGAGAAAAGGAAGTAATCTGGATTGTTGTAAAAGAAGCGAAGGATGAGAGTGAGAAAGCTGAACGGATGGCTTAAAGTAAAGAAGGAGAGGAGAGCAAAGGTGATCTGTGGTTGTTATTTGAGCCAAGCAGAGGAGAAGAGGATGGAGGTGTTCTGCAATAGAAAGATTTGAAAGCCAACAGAGGAGGGATTCTGCTTCCTGTATGGAAAAACAAGGCCAAGACAGACAGACAAACAGACAGACCTACTTCATGATTCATCACCTCACGTCTAAAATAATAGACTTAGAGTCTCTTGCTTCCACAAAATTACCAAAATGCGTCCCCAAAGTAGGGAAGATAAAGTACAACACAGAGACAGAAAGAGACAGATAGTAGAAAAGAGGAGGGTGGTTGAGGGGGGTTGGTTCTTCATAAAGCAGGTGTCTAATCCCTCCAGGTCAGAAGAGAGCACATAGATAGAAAACAGATGCAGAGCCAGCTAAATAAACAGATCCTCAACCTGCAGCTCAAAACAATGGAAACATATGACATCATGTGAAACAGGGTCAACTTGAATGTTTTTTTATAGCTTCTTCTACCCCCCAGTAAACCAATAAATCTGTTTTCAAGCCACCAATCAATCACCTAAACTGTCCCTAGAGGCATCATATTGACTGGGAAGCATACAGCTATTTAAAGGGCAACTGTTAAATATTTCCTGGACCTCGTACAAGATTTGATGTAATGTTATCTCGTGACTTGGGAGAATACTGGGAAGTGCTATTCTTTCCTACCAGGAGGATCATCAGTTCAGGTACTGAAGGTAAAACACTGGTTTGCAGTTTCCATATAGTCACATCACTGTTTGGATTTAATGACTACTGCTGCTGCTGACTAATCATACCATTTAAATAATGAATCATTATCATGGGCAATTTATTTTCTAAAAAACTTGATTAAAAGCTCAAATAATTGAAATAGTTAATAAAGTGCAAACCTATCATGATCAATTCAAATTTGAACAGCTACCACTGATTTCAGTCAAATAAAGTTGCCTAGTAGTTGTGTTCTTTGCAGTTACGATATATTTTGTTTGCACATTAGTTAGAAATTAATATTAATGCAAAGTCTCTTCAGCAGCTGTTCATGAGATTTCTGTGATATCACATGATATTCATCAGCAGATGTTGAAATTGTTGTTTTTTCCAGAGCATTTTAAGGACCTCTCATCCTCAAGTTGTTGCTTAAAAGTTCCATCTGCTGATGAAGATCAAGTGATAAGATTGAAAAGGTCCAATGAACTTTGAAACTCCACTTTTTAAGTCTTTAAAATGCTCAGAAGAACATCTGCATTTCCATGACAACCATGCGATATCCTTGTATGAGACTGTTTTATCAGCTGTTTCAATACAAAAATCAACTTTGAAACCTCTGATACCTACAAGTATAGAGATGCATACAAATATTTTCTTTGTGGACATGTTTTATTAACTTCCACCCATTTTTATATCCACTTATCCAAGTTCAGGGTCACCATGCAGTATCTGAACACATCATCGAAGCTTATAAATTTATTTCCATTTGTTATTGGCTTGTTTTTAAATAGCTACCAGTCCAGACCTGGTGAGTCACAATACAGAAGTTTAAGTCATAATTTTGGCACTGGAGACAGTAACAGTTGTTGAACTGGTGCTGCAGGAAGTTTTCATGAACATCTGCACTGTATTACTGCCCTGCTGCTCTTTATGTGGTAGTGGTGACAATGGTGCTGGTAAAGATGATGACAGATGTTTCAGCGCTGATGATGGTGCAACAGTTACCATCTGCACAGCATTATGTTAAAAATGTTTAAAAAAAAACAGCTGTATAATTGCAATATAACCAGACACACACAAAGCTACTACTTTAACCTTAATCTGCTATATATCACCCTGACCCAAACACACATTCATACAAACTAACAGGGATAGCAAAAGTGCTGAGTTGGGGAAATGTCTAAAAGAAGGCACAAAATGCATATTATTGATAGTCAGTGAAATCTTTAGAAAAATAAAAAAAATAAGAAAAAAAAAAAAAAAAAAAAAAATATATATATATATATATATATATATATATAAGATCTAACACATTCTCCAGTGCTTCGTGTGACAACCACACATTTTGAGTAAATATAATGAAGTTTCAAAGAATTTAAAGGCTGAACCCATTACAGTTAAAGGATGAACCAAGACTTCAGAGGAGAATTCAACAACACAACTTACACATGACAATCACCAAAACTGTTTTAAGAAAAGTTTTCATTTCAACAATGACAGGATGAGGAGATGACATGTCATTCAACATAACTGTGGTGTCAATTAGAGTTGGGATTGCAGGATGAGGTGCCAAATTGTGTTCATTGTAGAAAAAACAAAAAAATGTTGAATTCCACTGAGTTACTGCTCTTACCTTTGTGGGAATGCGTGCTGTCAAGAGGTAGGCTCGGTGAGATGCAAGGGCCTGAGAGAGAGAGAACAGAGAGAATAATGAGTATGTAGCTGTAAATATACACTCTGTGCAACATGAACAAGGGAATGACAAAGAGCACGGAGAACTTGACTGTTGACTCATCAAGATAAAAGGTTTGTGGCTCTAAAGCATCAGTCAGTACGAAAAGAGAGAAAAAACTGAGGAATGACACTGAAACACTTGAAAACAAACATATAAACAGAGAGTGATATTTACAGAAGCGTCCGGTCCACTGAGATGCTTATTACAACATGCCTTTTTATTTATTGGACCACCCCCTGTCTGAGTAAGACCATCATAGGTCAGTGCGTTTTTCTTGATTCTTGTGGCTTCTGCCTGCTGAGCAAACTGGACACCAACTGCCAGTGTTTATTAGAGCACATGTTGAGGTTTAAGCCTGCTTCTGTTGCTGCTCTGTGAAAGAAAAGTCAGGGCTTGAGGAGGCATAACAGGAACGCATAAACTTGACATTCCTATCCAGACGAGCAGCCTTCAAGGGTCATTAGGGTGCTTTATCGAGATGGCTTGCCACAGTATGTGATACTGTTATTGGGATAATTTGCATAACCCTTGCTCTAACAATATCAAATTCTGTAGTTACAATTCTGGTAATGTGGCATAAAAAAATCCAACAGGAGAACAAAGGTCAACACAATGAAAATGTTTGACCCTGTGCAGGACATTATTTTATTTTAGCCGAAATGACACCAACTGTACAGAGTGCTGCTTTCACCTTCATGTGCCATGACACTGGATTTTCTTCTGTCAAACAATATTGCAACACAACCATGGCTGACCTTTAAAACAATTAAAGGGACACTGCCTTTTTCTTGACGAAAAACACCCTGGTTGGCAAAGGCATGTGCCTCCATCATCACAACTGAAATCTCATGACCCTTGTGGCTAGCCATCTATCAGCATGCTGACATAAAACTGTCTAGAAATCCCATGTAAGCCATTTACACAATATAAAAATGAAGGGTAATGGCCACAATGGAAGATAAAATGCCAAAGGATTACACAGGGAAAACAAATAGGAGCTGGGTTTAGAGCAGATGAGACATGGAAAAAGAGGTTTGTTAGGGCAAGAAAGGAAATGAGAAACTGATCAGAGGGAGCAGACAGACTGATCAGAGTTGAGACAAAATCGCAGGTTTTAAAACATAAGAGAAAATAAAAGTAGCACAAAGGAGGGAAGGGGAGATGATGAGTACAGCATTACGAACAAGTCCCAGATAAACAATGACTGGCATGAAGGGGGGGGTGAGAAAGCAGAAAAAGAGGGGGGGAGGAAACACATGAGGAAACAAGATTATGGGAAGCCTGAAGAACAACCACTATCTTTTTAAAAGACATGAAAAAAGAAACCGAGGGATGAGAGACGGGGGTAAAAAAGGATGACAGTGTGTTACAGCCCTCTGTGGCTCAGCTCCACAGGCACGGTCTTTGTGGTTTGATGTGATGGTGGCAGACAGGCAGGCCTGTGTGACCAAAGATAACCTCCCCTAAAGAGCACCAGTCACCACTGCTGTGCTCAACTCTCCCTTTGTTACAGCCCAATTTCTGTACAGTCACTCTCGTCTACATACTGCGTAGGTATGCAGGTGATGGAATCGACGGTTTCTCCTTAAAAGTGAATCAACATTAGTTCAGTTTTGATTATGAAAGGACAACAGACAATTTGGGTAATCATTTTTCTGTTCGTTTTCTCCTCTAAATAAGTTTGGCTAAGCTGGGGGTTGTTGAAGGGGCTCTCCACTGACTTCACACATTAAGTTCAGATTACTCATCACAAGAAGTACAATTTATCGTGTTAAACTCTTCAAGTTATATAAAGTCTGAAAATGACTCTGATGATGTCATTAGGGATATTTTGGACACACTAGATGATATGTATATAGATGGAGTTCTGCATGAAAAAAACTTGTGAAAATAAGAGTCTGGCTGCAGAACTTCTCTCCAGCTGTGTGACACAAGAGAACTTCCTTCCTTTTTATTTTCTTTAGAGGGAGCCCTGCTTGTGTGTGTCTGACAGCATCAAGTCGGGGTTTTAGTTCTACAAGTACTACAAGTGAAAAACACCATGTTTTATCAAAAGACTGTTACACATCAGTGGGTTTCCAGGAGCTGAATAGCTACAGCTGCAGTCACACCCAGTAGCGACCTAGAACCTGCTGACTCTGAGTGAGGGGGAGGCACCAACTGACCACAGGCTTCATATTTTCTGTCCAGTCTTACTACAGAAGGTATTAAATCATTCAATACTTCCAATGCAATAAATCACACTTTTACGACTGCGCGCCAAAATGAATTCAGTGTACTTTGTAACTTGTTCACACAGATTTAAATGTACTCTGATTCATGCTGCCACTGCCTCTCGGATTTCCATTTAGTTTTTCATCCTCCCATCCTCCTCCTGTCAATGCATGACTGCCCCTCTGCACTCAGTGCTCTTTCCATCTGCCCTTTTCAGTGGACAAAGCCATAACACGCCCCCATAACACCCCCCGTTTTTTTTAACTCCCCCTCAACCCCTCTCCATAACTGCTCCCCATCCCTCTCTCTCTCCCTCTCTCTCTCTTAAGTGGACTTAAAGCCGGGAGCCTTCCCATCAGCCAATGATTTCGCAGTGACCACCATCCCGCCTTCAGCTCCACTCAGCCAACCAGATGGCAGCAGCATTGAAGCATGTCTACAAGACCAGAGAGAGCATCTGCTATTACTGTCTCTCTCTCTCTTTTTAACACACACACACACACACACACACACACACACACACACACACACACACACACACACACACACACACACACAGAGAGAGAGAGAGAGAGAGAAAAACTGGAGGCTCAAGATAACTGCCACAGGCTCTGAAGCACCATTTGTCTCCTTGGCCTGCCACACATGCCACACACACACAAACACAGAGCTCTGCTCTGAGCCAAAATCATTGTATTTTATTCATTGTAAATTAACACAGATGTCTTTGATACATTTTTGTAATTAGTTTTTTTTTGTAATGTTATTTTTATGGATAAATAATATTATGTTTAATAGCAATTTAACAAAATATTAAAAACACCCCATTCCGATTTCTGCTTCACACACAGTCAAAACACCATCAGAGAAAGTCGACAAGGTCTCAAATCCCATTAAAGGATCAGCAATAGACGTGTAAATCTGTAAAGTGTACAGTACGTGTGTGTGTGTGTGTGTGTGTGTGTGTGTGTGTGTGTGTGTGTGGAGTCCATTCACTGTATTACTATTCCCAGATTATCTATTTTTTCAATCAACCCCACCTACCCAGCTCCAATCGACCCAACCCACATGTGCACGCTTACACACACATTGTGTTACTATGGCAACAGCTAGCCCATACTGCCCGCACACATTTGTGAATACAAACACACACACACACACACACACACACACACACACACACACACACACACACACACACACACACCGATAGACACTCCCTCACACATGAAAGTAGCACGCTGCAGAGCCAAGTCTTGCTTGAGAATGTCAATGAGTTTTCTCACCCCCCCAAACAACACTCATGCTGGCCTACAGTTACGCTGAATCTCTGTAGGAACTGAAGCAATACAGAGCAGTGTTTCATCTGCAGTCATTGAGCTGTGGCAGCTCTCAGCCACAGGAAATCTGCCCCCACCGAAAACAGTTTTTATTCGTCCATCATGTCCTGGGGTGCATTCATGCTCTATTATATCTATCTATTTCTCATCTATTCCTTTGATTTGGTTTTGTTTGCTCTTTAAAATCTCTGGTGGCTCCAAAAAACATAATTAAAAAGGCTAGCTACAATTTCTTCAAATGAGGTATGGAAATGTATTCATTAATAAAGAAGTTACATGGCAGATAAGTCTAGTATACTCCTGATGTCTTCTCGTGTCTTGCAGCATTCTTGATCGTCTTTTATTTTGTTCTTGCTTGAAGTCCTTTACCATTATAGGAAAAGCAGTGGTTTGCTTTCTTGCTGATATTTAGATGAGTCTATTAATACCACTCTCATTTCTGAACTGCAACCAGGAGATGGTTAGTTTAGCTTAGAATTATGAATGAAAACATAGGGAAATAGCTGATCTTGCTTGGTCCAAAGGTAACTCACTAATTAACACACACACTGTTTAAGGAGTACAAAAAACAAACTGTAAAAACGTCAAATTGTGGTTTTAGGGGCTGTTGTGTACTGGACTATACCCTTGAACTAAGCTAACTGTCTCCTGGCTAGTAATTATAATAATTATCATTTATCTCCTCATCTAATTCTTGGCAGGAAAAACAAAAAATCTCCCAAAATGTCTGCCAATTCTTTTGAACTTTGAACAATTAATGATCTATTGATTAATCACTTGACAGAAAACATGGATTATTCATTTATGAAGGACAAATGCAAAACATTTTCTGGTGCTAGCTTCTTAAATGTGATGTTTTCTTGATTTCCTCTCTTTTATATAATTGTAACAAGCAATCTGAACAAATTTACCTTGAGCTCTGGAAAAATTATGAGGGTAATTTTCCACCAAATGTAAAAAAAAAAAAAAACAATAGAACAAGATGTATTTATAAGGAATATATCCATGTATTGCATCACTAGCACAGTGAAAAAAAACAAAAAAACCTCCAGGATTACATTCATCCCCACACCACTGCTGACACAGACTCTTTATTGCATAACAAATGCCAGAATGTCCTGCATGTGTGTCTGTGTGCAACATTAATGAGTCATGATGTGCTGGCTGCAAACTAAAACTGTCAACGCAGCACAGCAGAACGAGAGTATTTTATGCAGAAAAAAAAGAGAGAAACAGAATGAGAAAGAGGGAGGGAAAGAGAGAGAGTCAAGCAGAATGGACATTAGAGAGTCCGAGTGAGACAGTGAGTGAAGGAGAAGAGATGGAAGGTCGAAGGAAGTGAAATGACTTAATAGATTCTAAGTGCTGTTTTGCTGATAAGGAGCCAAGATTTAA